TGTTGCCATTCATTTATAGTGCTAAATTACCTCAACTCCTCATAAAGAGGCTTTTAAAATTAATTCTTACCTAATACCTGGAAGAAGGCTGAGTCAAAAGCTGGCACGAAGCCTAACGTTTAAGGTTGCCCTCTAGCCTGGCTGCTCCTGAGCTTTTAATAGAGATCTGATCTGGAGAAATAACCAGATGATGGGTGCCTCCAGGCTGACAGTATTTTGCAGAAGGGATTCAGGCAATTACCGGAGCTTGAAATATGTGCAATTAAAGTGGACTGAAGTGCACATAAGCTATCAATGGCCACTAGCCATTGATCCAGTGTCTGGCTGGCAACCCAGCCGGATGGGCGGGGTATAAATAATAAAATTATTATTATTATTATTAATTAGTCATGATGACTATGCTCTGCCTCCATGGCTGGAGGGAGAAATGCTTCTGACTACTAGGAGCAGGAAACTGCAGCAGGGGAAAGCACTGTTGCACTTGGGTCCTTGCTTTCGGGCTTCCCATTGCCATCTGGTTGGCCACTGTGAGAACAGGATGCTGGAATTGATGGGTCACTGGTATGATCTAGCACAGTCTTCTTATGTTCTTATGCTCTCTAGGGCAGCCTTTGCCAACCTGATGCCCTTTCAGATGCTTTGGACTACAAGTCCCATCAGCCCCAGCTAACAAAACAAAACAAAACACAAAACAAAACAAAACAAAACAAAACAAAACAAAACAAAACAAAGCAACAGGACTTTTTGCAGGTTGGAAAGCACAACAAGAAAAGTACAGGGTGAACAAATGACTAACACAAATCAGAATAAATGCCCCCGTTATCATCTAAGCACCCCACATCAAATCAGAACAAATGCTCAATAAAATAGCAGATATAATCTAACATTTGTGTGGGCAACCCAGGCAAATGCTTGATAAATAGGTTGCCTGGGGGAGCCCTTTGTTTTTCATGAAATTGCCTGCCAGATCCCTGTTAAAGGCACAGGAGCAGGTTCTGCTCAGACCCAGCAATGCTGTATGGACTTGAATTCTTACACCAGTGAGTAGTTTCTTCCTCGTGAGGCTGTCAGCTCATCTGCGGGGCCCTGGTTGGAACAGATCGAGCACCAGCCTGCTTCTTCCTGTGTGGCCTTGGGATTTCCTAACTGCTCACGTTTCCCAGGACTGGTGAGCATGAAGGGGAAGGTTCAGCCCCAGGTGTCACCTGCCTCCTTTCCCTTAGTCCCATGCTGTTTACAGAGTGAGCACAGGGAAGAAACACCCACAGACAAAAATGAATAAAAATTAGTCAGCACAAAGGAAGGGTGGATGTCGTCCTGGGGATGGGTGGATTGGTTTCACCCTTGCACACAGATAGCTTGAACTGAAACTTTTTTTTTAAAAGGGCAGATTTATAGAACAACAAAACTACTTGGTTTATTGGGAGGTTAGGCTAAGAGACTAACACTGACCCCAAAGTCACCTAGAGAGTGTCATGGCTAAGTGCAGAATCTGAACCCTGCTCTTGCTGACCCTGAGGAGGGAAGGTACCTAAGGAGTTTAGCTTTCTCTACATAGAGGCACAGGCCGGACTGGAAAGGTTTGGGGGTTGGTTTGTTTTCCTGCCAGGGTTTAAGAGTTTAAGACCTTAGGAAATTTCAGCACATTGAACAGCTTCTGGGTGTTAGGAAACGACACCCTGCTTGTTAAATGTTCAGGAGCTAACAAAGATGTTGGCAACCCTAGACAGACCTCAGGGCATACATGGTCACCCGCTGATTTGTAAATAGCTCTTTTAAAGACACAGTCCCTTTTCCTGGCTCATTGCCCACCCCAGATTAACACAAGAGCCAGGTATACACTTCTTTTTCTTATGCGACGTTAAACTTTTACCCAGTTTCTAGGTTAACTGAATGGGGTATAGGGCTGCCAACTTTTTCTCTGGGCAGGGCTTTGTGCTTTCAACTGCCAGCTGTTAAAGGCACAGCAGCCTTGCCAGGAACAAGTTGGCAATCATACTCACGCTGCTGTTTGAAGAAATCTGAGTGTTTTCCCTTTGCTCAGCTCAACATGATCCTATTACATGATTAATCACTGTGACTGCTTAAATCTCTCTTCACCTTATCTCTGGTTTATGTAAACTCCTAGTCATGTGGACTGTGAGGGTACATACATAGAACAGACTACCGGTAAATTTACGCTGAGTGCTGCAGCAACAGAGCAATGTGGCAGGCAGTGCCAGGTCAGTGTGACTGGGTAGCTTAAGAACTCAAATCCTTCGAGGGTTTTTTCTCCCTGGAAAAAGTTGCTTTGATTGCAGCAGGAATTATTGGTGATAATGATGATGATTTAATTTGTATCCTGCCCATCTGACTGGGTTGCCCCAGCCACTCTGGGCAGCTGCCAACATATATAAAAGCATAATAAAAACCCCATTCCCTATACAGGGCTGCATTCAGAGGTCTTCTAAAGGTTATATAGTTTCTTATCTCCTTGACATCTGATGGGAGGGCATTCCACAGGGTGGGCACCACTACCGAGAAGACCTTCTGCCTGGTTCACTGTAACTGCACTTCTCACACTGAGGGAACTGCCAGAAGGCCCTCGGAGCTGGATCTAAATGTCCTGGCTGAACGACGCGGGTGGAGATGCTCCTTCAGGTATATGGAGCCGAGGCCATCAAGGTCTTTAAAGGTCAGCACCAACACTTTGAATTGTGCTCGGAAATGTACTGAGAGACAATGTAGGTTTTTCAAGACTAGAGTTATATGGTCCCGGCAGCCACTTCCAGTCACAAGTCTGGCAGCCACATTCTGGATTAGTTGCCGTTTCCAAGCCGCCTTCAAAGATAGCCCTACGTAGAGTGCATTGCAGTAGTCCAAGTGGGAGATATCCAGAGCATGTACCACTCTATCATGACAGTGCGCAGGCAGATAGGATCTCAGCTGGCGCATCAGAGCAGGGGCATAGGAAGGGGGGTGCGGGGTGTGTGGCCTGCCCCAGGTGTCATCCTTGAGGGGGTGACAAGATGACACACCACAGGGGTTGGCACTTACCGTGGGCCCTGGCATGTAGCGCTCCCAAGCCACGCGTCTCTCCTGGGAGTGACGGAGTGGCTCAGGGCCCCGTGCTGCCCAAATTGGCAGTGTGGGGCTTGTGTCTGCCAGACAGACTCCATGGGCAGCTCGCCGCAGTGCCCCCATGTGTGGATCCCCACCTCCCCCACTGCTCCATGTGCCAGAGCAGCTAGCTACGCCCCTCACCAGATGGAGCTGGTAGACAGCCGCCCTGGACACAGAATTAACCTTCATGGACAGCTTTAAGTCCAAAAGGACTCCCAGGCTGTGCACCTGGTCCTTCAGGGGCACAGTTACTCCGTTCAGGACCAGGGAATCCCTCATACCTACCTGCTCCCTGTCTCCCAGAAACAATACTTTTGTCTTGTCAGGTTGCATTAGCTGCCATACATCCTCCCACTGCCTCCAGACACTCACACAGGCCGTTCACCACCTTAATCTTTAATTTCTCTGTGCTATAACTTCATTGCTTGTTTATGGCCTCCATCCTTTGCTTGAGGTGCAAAATACATAGTAGCCAAAGGCACAGATTAATACCTAACCTGAGGAAACAGTAAGCTAATGGCATGTTCAAGACATGCTGTTGCATTTATCAGGAGTCTGTTGTATAGAGGTGTCATATGTCAATAAAACCAGGTAAGCACAAGATATACTGTAATTTTGTTTCCCTCTTTTCCATGGAGTTTCTAGCACAGGCTTCCTCCACCTCGGCCCTCCAGATGTTTTTGGCCTACAACTCCCATGATCCCTAGCTAGCAGGACCAGTGGTCAGGGATGATGGGAATTGTAGTCTCAAAACATCTGGAGGGCTGAGGTTGAGGAAGCCTGCTCTAGAACCTTAGGCCACTCAATAAAGCTGAATGTTGACCCGTCGTGTGGATTTGAACCGCTGACCTTCTGATCGGCAAGATCAAGAGGCTCAGTGGTTTAGACCACAGCGCCACCCGCTCCCCTACCAGTAGCTGGGAATCACAAGTGGGGAGAGTGCTGTTGCACTCAAGAACTATCTGTAGGCTTCCCAAAGGCATCTAGCTGGCCATTGTGTGAACAGGGTGCTGGACTAGATGGGACATTGGCCTGATCCTGCGGGGCTCTCCTTATGTCTCCAGGTTGTATTTGGCATCTGTGTAGTAATAGTGAAGTGGGCTGAAACAGACAAGTCTGTACAAATCAAGAAGCTAAAGGTAGTCGAGCAACACCTTTTAGATGGGTTTCATTGACTGAGGGCTTTCCGTGAGTTGTACTTTGGGCTGTGTCAGAAGCTGAGATATAAAAGCTAGGAGCTTCATGGCACCTTAAACCTAGCTTATGGGCGCAACAACGGAATGGCTAGGCACGCTTTTTTTATAACAAGAATACAAAGCTGAAAATGAATGAACTGCAGCTAAAATATTATGTTCGCTTTTTACATGGTCTAGTCTCTCCCCTGCCCACCCCGCTAATATTCTTAAGAGGGTCTCTTCTCCAGTCTCCAGAGAGTAGCTGGAAGTAGGGAGGCAGGAAAAGGTCCTCCTTTCCTTCCACTCTGCTGTTTTAATCTGAAATCTTAGGCGCAGTACTGTGCCCAGAGCTCAGAAACTGCTCGTGCTAATGAAATTCCCTGTTACAAAATATTCCTAGAACAATGGGAGTTTCAAACACTGACTTTGGGTGCCTTTTGCGAAGGATGTTCAGATAAGTAAAAGCAAACACTCACCCCCTGCATGGAGCACAGCTGTCATGATGGAAGGAAACCACGATGTCTGGCTGTTGCTAGCCTGGAAATCATGCTGCAGGTCCTTGAAGAAGACCCCAGTGCACGAAGGGAAGCCCAGCGTTAGGCCTTGAACAATCACGGTGGCTACTAAGACCACCCACGCCCATCCTCGATCCTGGTCTTTGGAGATCCTAGCGGCCACCTCTTCTTCTTTGGACATTGTTGTTTTTTTCCTGAGCAAGCCTCGTTAGAGGAAAATGCACAAACGAAAGTGATGCAGCAGCTGCAAAGAAGACAGAAAAAAAGAGTTGCTGAAAAATAGAAGAGTTGTGCTTCTCTAGAGAGCTTCTCAGTTCTGGTGTCGCCAGCCTGCCTGAGAAAGGTCTGTCATCTCCTTTTATTTCACAAGATTATGAATGCTTCTAGGTATAATGTTAGACACACCTCCAGTGAGGAAAGAGCTAGCTGGTATTACTCAGCACCAGCACCCTGCCAGTTTTCCCTTTCACCTGCTTTCGGTCAGTGGAATCCCCTTGCTGCCTTTTATCTAATGTCATAAAATTCTTGTGCCAAGAGAGGAAGGCTCTGCCCGTAAATGCCAATCCCAGTGTAAAGTCTGTACGGTTCTGCTGAGAATTAAGTTGTAATGATTGCTCTTGCACAGGTTGCTGTCTGAGTTGCCCTGTTTGTCCCAGGATAGAACAGAAAGTGCCTTTCACTTTCAAGCGGCGAGAAAGGCCCCTAGGACATGTTCACATGTTACATCTGCATTGATTTTTATATTTCCTTTAACTCTAATGTAATATCTACAATGTCTGCAAGTTACACCTGCTCTACAAAATGCATTTATTCTCCTGTCCAGCCTACATAAAAAGCACAAGAGATCCCTTTCCCCCCAAAAAAGTTGTTTTAAGCATTGGGTGTGAAACCACTTTAAGGAGAGCCCTTTCCCTGAACTGGGTTCCACAGCAAAGAAAAGACATGGGCAACTCAGCTAGCTCCAGGGGTCTAGGGCGCTTCCAGATGACCTGTTTATTGAGCATTCGTCACAATTTGTTTTCTGGGAGGTTAGATGATGTTACATCAAAGCAAGTGTTATTCCCACCCATCCCAGTGCATTTTCTTTCCCCATCACAAAAATGTCCAGTCTTTTTGAGAAGGGGATTCATTGCTCAAGTTTGTAACCTGCATTTGCCGGTATGTGTGTGAATCGCCCCCCAAAATAGTGGCAACTTGGAAGTGCTCTCCAAAATAAATAAATAAAAGAGACCACTGGTTGTTTCCTTTGAAATGCCCCACTCAGTTATGCAGGAGTGGAGACGGGGAAACAGCTTATGCAATATTTGTTCCATCAGATAAAATATGTGGCGCCCTCACTACTCTGAGCTACTAATGGTCAGCAGAAGCAGGTACAAAGGAACATGGGTGTTATCTAGGTGACCTCTAGCAGGGCCAGGACTGACCTGGTCCAGTTGAAAAATGCATGGTTGGCCTACTATTCTTCCACCACACCTGACCGGGCATTTTGCTGGCAGAGAGTCGGAGAAAGAAGTTGGGATGCCTGCCTCAAAGCTGTCAGGCCTTCTTCTGTATGTTCCTCTCCCCAGAGTTCCATAAACTAGCCAGTGTAGTGGCGTCCTACGTATTTAAGGGATCATGTGTTGCCAGCAGTCTGTTTTCCAACCCTCAAAATTTCACCAGAAGTAGCGGTAGTTAATTTTTAATGCCACATAAATGAATCAAAAGCAGGAAGGTGGTCACCCTCTATGGATTCTGCAGCCTGAAATGCCCATTTCGTGTTGCTTCATAGTAACGCTGGTGCTGAATGTAGAACACTGTGACCTCCTTAGTGCTATGCGACAGCAAGTTCCCAAGGCAGGGGTTATGGAGGTTCTTTGGAGCCTGAACACTAAATCCCCTTATTTCTCAGCCATGGTGCTGAAAACTGATTGGACAACATACCCACACCTGTACCAAGAGATAATGTTGTGCCCACTGACTGGCTCCTCTGGTGTTTCAGAATGGGAGCAAGGCAATCCATTTCACCAACACAGTCACACTTACTGGATTACTGACCCTTTATGGGTGCTCCAGTTTTTAAAATACCATACTCTATTTGCAAGTTACCTTTTATTTATACTTAATTTTTAAATACTATGGGGCCAGGTATGTGTGTACACACACACACACACACACCTGTGTGAGATGTAGCTCAATACATGCATCTATTCATGCTGGCTGGAGCTGGTCAGATTAGGGTGATATTGGTATATTTAGACTCTTCCTGCTTTATAGATATATAGTTCTTGCCCCTAGTACTTAACATTTGCTTGGAAATGTTCATAGTTGTACGGTTCTTACCACCAGTATTTAAATGTTTAGAGAAAAGTGTTCAAAGTGCTGGTGCTTGTAAAACAGGCGTAGGCAACCGAAGGGCCAGGGGCCGAATGCGACCCAATCGCCTTCTTAATTCGGCCCGTGGACAGTTTGGGAATCAGCGTGTTTTTACATGAGTAGAATGTATCCTTTTATTTAAAATGCATCTCTGGGTTATTTGTGGGGGAAAGGAATTTGTTCATCCCCCCCCCCCCAATATAGTCCAGCCCACCACATGGTCTGAGGGATGGTGGACCAGCCCACGGCTGAAAAAGGTTGCTGATCCCCTAGTAAAAGTCTTGGTAATCTGTAAAGAGGGACGCTGGTGGCGCTGTGGGTTAAACCACAGAGCCTAGGCCTTGCCGATCGATCGGCAGTTCGAATCCCCATGACTGGGTGAGCTCCCGTTGCTCGGTCCTTGCTCCTGCTAACCTAGCAGTTCGAAAGCACGTCAAAGTGCAAGTAGATAAATAGGTACCGCTCCAGCCTCGGCCAATAAAGATGAGCGCTGCAACCCCAGAGTCGGTCACGACTGGACTAATGGTCAGGGGTCCCTTTACCTTTACCTTTAATCTGTAAAGAAAGCCCAGTGCTCTTATCTCAATATTGCAGACGAGAGAATTGAGACCTAGTGAATTCGAGGCTGAGACAAAATTTGAGCCCAAGTTCACTGCTCTGGCTCTCCGCCGGTACACAACACAGCATTTCTGGAGTCATGAGCTGCAACAGCTGCCTCTTTAAAAACATCAACAGCGATACAAAACGGGAACTCCATAACTTGTTGCTCAAACCAACTCATGTGGTTCTTGGAGCCAGTTTCAGGGCTGCCTCCCTTCCTGTCTATACGGAATCAGAAAAAGGGCCATCCGGACAAGCGTCCGATTATCAGTTTAGATTTTTTGCAAAGCGGTATTAGAAAGGGGTGGGTTTGCTTCGACCCCCGCACCGTTTTAAGCAGCGGCAATTTCGAAACGGAGTTTCCTTCCAAGGGCTCACCCGAGAGAGATCCCTGCACGCCTCGGGGATCCTGAGAAGGCTTATAGCAACTCTCAGCTCTGGTGTCGACCGAGAAAGGGATTGTTCCGGTTTCGGACCAGGTGTCAGCGGGGGCGGAGGGGAGGGGGCGTCGTCGTTCCTTTCCCTCCCGAAAACAGGAAATCAAGACCAGGCACTCTTCGATCCGGTGTCCTTCGATCACGAAGGGGATCCTTTCTGCGCTTTACCCCCATCCTTACTCCCCACAGGGATCCCCCTCTGGCCTCAGCTAGGGTGATCGAAGAATCCTCATAAGGATGTGCAGGGCAGTGGCTGAGATCTTAAGAACTCTCCCCCCCCTCCACACACCCCCGCGGTCTCGTAGTGATCTTGATCGGGTTCCCCAGCCGATCGCCGCCTGCTCACCTGCTCACGCCCCCCAGGCGGGGCTGCTGCTTCCTCCCTTCCCAGGGGCGACCCCGTGGCCCCTTCCTCTTCGCTCTCCACCCCGCTCTACTTCCTCCAAGGGCCGGCCGAGCTCTCGACTCCGGTTCCCTTTCGGTTGCTTATGGAAGAGGAGGAGGAGGAGACTTGGAAGCCGGAGATCCGAGAGCGTCGCGCGCTGCCGGAGGAGCCCGGGGCGGGCTGAGGTCAAAGGGGGCCGAGGTCAGGCGAGGAGCCCCGAGGGCGGCTCCTGTTCAATAGGGTGGCGAGGAGGAGAGAGGAGCCTATTGTTGCTTTTGCTTAATTTGATTGGGGTCGTGGGATCTGAGCGGGCTGCCTTGGTTCACCTCCCCCCCCCCCACCGATATGCCTTATAGTTCTGTTTCCAAGAGTTGTTTTCAAGGTCCTAGATCTCATGGAGGTGGCAAGCCTGTGTCTGTGTGTCGCTTCAGGCTGCAGGTGGGGGACTTGTACGTACTTATCTCACCCTTCCTCCTCGCTAAAGGCGGTTCTCGTCTCCTTCGTTTTACGCTCGTTTCACCTATGCAGGTGAGGCCGAGAGGGGGGGAGGAAAGGGACTGGCCGAAGGTCACCCACTGAACTGCATAACTGAGCAGGGAGAAGCCCAGTGCTGCTATAGCACCATAGGAGCCAAATCTTAGGGGTCCCTTCGGCACCCCTTTCCCCCAATAAAATATTTTAGGGGCCCCTCCAAAGTTAAGGGGAATTCCCACTCAAATGGGGTGTGTGCCATGTCATGTGATCGATTATGCGGGACGGGGCTTACCTTCCTCTCCCCCCCCACCTCAATATTTTATTCAAGTCCGCAGCCCTGTATAGCACACTGTCTGATGGAACTGGTACTCCGCACCAAACAAAATGTCCCTGCAAATAGAAAACTAGCATGTCAGGATTCTGACCTTGCCTCCCACCCGCACACGTTTTCTATTGTTGCAGAGAAACAACCCTCCCTTCGCAGCCCAGACACACATTTCCCAGCTCAGGAAGAAATAAGTAATTAATAGGTAAATTAACGCAGGGGCGAAACTAGGCTTTATTTCACTCGGGTCAAAGAACCAGTTTGGCAGAAAAAGAAAAACCCACATGCAGTTGTGTACACACAGAGAGAGACTGGGAATCTCAATGGCACCCCAGGGCAAAAAACCCCAAAAAAACCTGGCTAGCCCCCCCTTAGCTACGACACTAGTTATTGTATTTTTCCTCCAGGCTTGTAATAGACACACACATACGCAAAACTACCTCATATCATATGTAAAAGAAGGTAATAAGTTACGATCCAGAATTAAACCCAAGTTTGCTTAGGGCTGCTTGAAATGACAGCAAGGTGGGCCCCAGTTTCTGGGACAGCTCTATAAAGCCTTCCTGCCCTGGGGCTATCAGTAGGCTATCAGTGGCTACTAGCCTTTGGCCCCCACAATAAAACATATGAGGGTTCCGGAGCTCCACAAAGTTGATGGGCATTCCCATTCAAATGGGGTGTGTGAGACTGTGTCATGTGATATGAGGGGCAAGACTTACCCACAATATTTTATTCAAGTTGGCACCTCTGCATGATGGCTATGTCCTGTCTCCACAGTTGGAGGCAGCAGTGTTTCTGAATACCAGTTGCTGGAAACCAGAAGAGGGGAAAGAGTGCTCTTGTGCTCAAATCTTACTTGTGAGTTTCCTTCAGGCATCTGGTTTGCCACTGTGAGAACAGGATGCTGGACTAGATGGGTAAGTGGCTCTCCTGATATTCTAATGCAGTCATCTGCCAGTTATCAGAGCTTAGAGGTACAGTGGTGCCTCGCAAGACGAAATTAATTCGTTCTGCGAGTTTTTTCGTCTTGCGAATTTTTCGTCTTGCGAAGCAATGCACCCTGGGTATTAACGGTTTTAAGAAAAAGGAAACAAACTTGCAAGATGTTTTCATCTTGCGAAGCAAGCCCATAGGGAAATTCGTCTTGCGAAGCAACTCAAAACACGAAAAACTCTTTCCTCTTGCGAGTTTTTCGTCTTGCGAGGCACCACTGTATGTCAGTATCAGGAAATTCACCACCCTGTAAAGGTAAAGGGACCCCTGACCGTTAAGTCCAGTCGTGAACGACTCTGGGGTTGCGGTGCTCATCCCGCTTTATTGGCCGAGGGAGCTGGCGTTCAGCTTTCAGGTCATGTGGCCAGCATGACTAAGCTATTTCTGGCAAACCAGAGCAGCACACGGAAACACCGTTTACCTTCCCACCAGAGTGGTACCTATTTATCTACTTGCACTTGACGTGATTTCGAACTGCTAGGTTGGCAGGAGCAGGGACTGAGCAACGGGAGCTCACCCCGTCACGGGGATTCAAACCGCCTACCTTCTGATCGGCAAGCCCTAGGCTCTGTGGTTTAACCCACAGCACCACTCGCATCCACATCTCCCCAATAATCAGGTATTTTGGAGTAAAGGAAAATATGACCTCTTCTTTGCGGGTATAAAATATGTTGCCTGCCCTTGACTAATACTCAAATGTAAGCTGGTCCTCCTACAGGACTCGTTGGGGTATATTTTATTGTGACTCTTTTGAAAGCTCAAGGATGTTGGCTACTACACTTAAGAGCCACATACATTAAATAACATTCTAAACAAATGCCAATAAAACACAATGTTTTTGTTGTTTTTAAACAACCTCTATTCCATTCTAACAGACTAAAATAAATTGTAGACCCCTTCTTTCCAGCTCCTTGCTTTCCCAGAAAGGAACATCTGGAAAACTGGCAACTTTACAAGGGGAGGAAGTTGTACCTTTATGTTTTCCTTACTAGTAAATATTTAGGTTCCCTTGCACAGGCCTCAAGGATAGAGAGTTGAGTAGATAAATTGCAGAAATATTTACATGCACTGAAAATTTGAGTTTCTTGGGGGAAATGAAGTAACTGGAAATGACTCATCTGTGACTGTGTCTCAGCTGTCTAGATTTAAATGTCACCCTCTGAACCTTTGGAACCCTTAATAAAAGGCCTGAAGAGGCTGCTGCTCATGTCAGTTATATTCAGATCTGCTGTACTGAATCATAGACTCAGTAAAGTTGGAAGGGACACCCAGAGTCATCTCAGGTGGATCGGAGGCAAATTCACACACCAAAGCAAGTGAGGGATGGGCCATCTCTGCTGAGCATGCCCAAAGGAGTGGAGTGAACTGGCTCTGGAGCAGCTGTTCAGTGCTCTGCTGTGGATGCACCTTGAGGTGTTGCTTGGCTAGGGGAAGAGCTGTAGAAGGGCGACCATAGAAGACAGCGGTTTAATGTCGCTGGTGGCAACAGGAAATGCTGCTCTGTGATCAGACGTCAACTGCAGGCTGGATGAGGGCAAAAATGGCAGGCACTCTTAGGAATAAGAGCCTCCAGTCCACTTGTAATCGGCATTCTTCTGGTCACCTTGCAAAGCCATTCCCAAAACCTGCAGGTCACTTACGGTCGGCACCCAAATGACGATGCCAGCGTTGGGAAAGGGCAGCATGCCTCTGAGCATGTGCAGAGAGTGCCCATCCTCCGCGCCCTGTGCCCCCTGCTTGCAGCTGAGCAGTGCCAACAACTTTTTCTCTAGAAAAAGAAACAAAAACTGGAAAATCAGAAAAATGTATGTAACTATGTAACTGAGCCATTGAAACACTTGGGGGAGTGTCAACTTTTATTGCTGCAAAGCTACTCCTAACTTTCAATGATACGTACAGTGTTTTGGATTCAGAAAAGGTGTGTGTTTTGGTTAAAAAAAAAAAAATCACCAAGGGATATGGTAAATTATGTTGACAAAGTAAGAGCAGTCTCAGTTCTACAGTACCAGCTAAGACTTTACATGGCCGCAGGCCAAATATTTTGGAAAGTGTCTCTTGTTGAGCAGGAGAGCCCATGCTTTTCAGACAGAGTTAAGATGATTTGAGGAAAGTCAGCTGAAACAAAATTTCCCACATTGGTTAGCAAGGACATAAATTGCATGCCAAGCCTTACTTTTTAAAAAATAAAACAAAACTTTATTATGAGCATCAGCTTTTGCTTATCTGCTGGAGCTGTGCAGGATTCAAGTTTTCTTGAAGATGAAAATTGAGATTTCCACATCCCCAAACATGAATCTAGAAATAACACGAAGAAGGCCTGTTTAGGTTATGTGCTGCCATTCTCATGTCTCATTGTATACATTGTGTGCTGCATACTGATCTCAGGGGTCTCTCACAGGCGTAAAATGCTAATAGTAGAGTTTTCAGCTGTGAAGCACTCAGGAGCCCAGGGTAAGGGGGAACTCCAAAACCTCATTCTGCAATGCTGCTTGGAAAACAGCCAGAGAAAGAGTGCTCACCCATCAAATGTGAACGCAGAACGAAGTGAACAAATGTGTTTTTTTTCTGAGCACCAGAAGACCACCCTTGAAAACAAGGCTGTGAACTTGAGGGTTGCTTTGTAGCACTACGAGCGCCTTGGGAGTGAGTGTCTTTAGATGCAGCCATGGAGACACTGGGATGCAGCCAAGGCTGTCATCCGAGGCGAATTGCTGGCAACTGCTGCCAGCAAGGGATAATTAACAATCAAAAGATCCTAAACTGTAACTTGAAAGAGCCTGTCAGGTGGTTGTAATGACTTGTTAAGTTAATCCAGCTACTCAAGGGACCGGCTGGACACCCAGTCCCCAAGAGTTCGAAAGACACCTGTGCCTCTTCAGAACAATGTTTTTAGGGGATTATTTTGCAGAGTCACAGACAGGCCTTTCAAGAGAGCCACTGACTCGGAGGGGGGCGGCGGATTGGGTACCTGCAAATAATCATACTGCAGTTCATGAGAATGAGATCATGCATGAGTGTAGCTGTAAAACAATTAACTCGGGGTTGTTTTTTTAAGCTGCATTGGGTTGAGGGAAGCTGGAAAGGAAGCAAGTGATATTGTCTGGTGCAGTGATCATGAATGATCCTTTCCCAGGGATTTTTGACATGCTGGACTGAACTTGTGAGCATTTTGATAGTGTCTCAGTTGTGACACTACACCCTGATTTTATTTTATTTTTCAAAACAGAGGTTGAATCTAAGACATGGTGGGGACCAACTCTCAAGGCAAATTGTTTTGCTTTCGGCTCTGCCTATGATGGCTTGCCTCTGAATGCATAGCATTCACACAGAGGATCCTGGAATGTCTGTGGCTCATGAAAGTGCAAACAGTGCTGCCTTTGAGTTGGGTCCAACGGACACGTTTCAGATGCTAGCCCCTCCCCGTGAAATTTCCTATGCCGTTGCACACTAACTGGGATTTCCCCTCTGTAAACATGCTGCTTGGCTGAAAGGGATAAATGCTTCTGGAGGTGTACAGAATTGCCCTTCCTTAGCTATGAAGCAACTCCACAGCAAGTGCCATGTAAAGAGGCTTTGAGGACAGCATATTTAGGGAAAGGAATAGTAGGAGAGGCATTCTGTTTCATTTCAGACTGAGGATGTGAGCAGGTATGCAAATAAACACAGGAAGCGCCAGCCATAGAAACACCATGGTTTAAAAATTTAAAAGAGGCAGAAAGTAGAGAAAGAAAAAGTAGGAAGGAACCAGTAACATAGCCGGCTTCCCTCCCTGCTCCAAATGATCCTCTGTGGCAATCCTTTTCTCTAACAGAAAAACACATTTAGGTGTATCATTTGCTTTCTGTTTATAGCCACGTCACTGGAAAAAGAAAAACGAATCCCACCTTAGCAGTAATGAGATAGAAGTTTATTTTATCAGCTACAGCAAAGCCCTCCCCGGCCTTTAAAGAGGGATAATTTTTGTGGCCTCTCTAGTCTGGGTGCTGTTTCAAAGTAATGGAGGCCCCACTGCTTACCATAGCAGCTGGGTAAAGAGGTTCGGTGAATATGGTGAGGAAACGGTAGATGAGGTTCATGGTGTTGGTGATGCCATAGAAAGTCAGGGAGCCAGCAGCATAGTTTAGTAAGACACCTATTGTCTTATAGTAGCTGCCATGCACCACAGTCTGAATATTGTTGTGCCAGACAGAGTACTTCAGTGAGTCCCACTCCAAGCACCATGAATTGCTATTCCTGCCAAGCAGGTACAACATGCAAGCTTTCTCAGTTCTATGCTTGTAACTGTAGGTGACTCCCAAACACAGCCATGCATTTGAAATCTCAGCCTCCCAGTAATGGCAGCCCTCACATAGGCTGCGGGTGCACAAGAGCTGTGGCCAGTGGTTGAATCCTTGGCTGGGTTTTGAGTAGTTCTCCAACAAGATTCCCATGTTCAGCACCGAGTGGGTCTCCTTAAACAGGAAGAGTTCTTCGTTGGCAGTGCTAGCATCAAAATTCAGCAGGCAGTAATCTGTTTCGTGGGAGGCAAAACAAGGGGTGAAATGTCAAAAGAAGCCACTCCAGGAAGGTAGACAAGGGTGGGCAGACCAAGACTGAACAGCTTCCAAAATCATAGAGTCACTGAGGCTAGAGGTGATCAGAATATAAACTTACTCCGGCCTCTTGCCCAAGGCAAGGACCTCCATGAATTATCCCACATGTAGTCCCACCCATCAACCACCCTACGAAACAATCTGGAAATTTTTGTCTATCAGATATGTTATGAGTCTTTCTCCAAGGAGCTCAGCGTGGTAGCAGTAGAGCTTTGCTCCAAATGGTAATAAACTCATTGAGAAACTTCCATGACAGTGAGGGAATTTGAAACCAGGTTTTCACCTAGTTCGTGTCTAATGCTCTGTTCACTACACCCCACCAGCTATTTACACTATTTATATGCACGACAAACAGAAAACAGTAGCAAGCAAAGTGATCCGTGTCACAGGTAACTGTATCTGACTAATGGAAGATGTTAGTAAAGCTACCCAGGTGGAAATAAGAAAACAAGTCAGTCCATCAAAGTATGCAAAAGTGAAGCCTCACAGTTTCTGTATGGAAATTCCCTCCCATCCCCAAATTTCAGTATTAATTAAATCCTGAGGATGAAGCAGCCTTGGCTTCATGACATACTTGCCTTGCCAACACCCCATGTCCAGCCACAACAATTTTTGAAGAAAGGAGAAAGCAAACAGACAATATGGTAGGAAGAAATTGTTTGACCCTGATGGATCACATTAATGTCCAATTTATTCTGCAGCTATTTATTTATATATATATAAATGTTTAAAGCATTTCTGAACCACTTAATATTTTGAAACTCTTAAGCCATTTACAAAAATATATCATAAAAACAATAAAACATACTGTATCATAAAAACAGAGATAAAACATAAAAATCAGTGAAATGGTATTTTTAAAAAGAAGACGCAATAACAGGGTCCAGTCTAATAGGTCAGGAATAGCCTGGGCAAAAAGATAATGCCCCTAAATGACACCTGACACAACTAATGGATGGTCCTTCACATTTGGCAGAGAGGAGGACATTCCTGAGCATGTAGGGACAATGGTGGAAAATACCTGTTTCCAGGTAACTGTTCTGTGGTATTCTATAGGGCGTGGTTTTGAGAATAAAATTCCCACAGATTATCTAACTGTTCTTATAGGTCTTTCAGATGACCTGATCCCAAGTTGTTCAGGGCTTTATATGTTAGTAACAAGACCTTGAACATGGTCTGAGAACTGCTTGGCAGCCAGCCCTTCCACAGCTATTTTGTGTGGAAGAACAAACAGTGTTTGCTGGCAGGCTTCAGGAATTCTTTTGTTTGAAATTTGCTTGGGGGACAGTTTAAAGTTGCTGCTTCTTGCATCCCTAGCCTTTTCAAAAAGACTAAATCATTCTTGCGGGGTTGGTAGAACTGTCAGATTCTACCTGGGATAGTGCTCCTCTTTACGAGAGGGAGAAATTTGGCTGTGCAGCTTCTCCCCTCATAGTATTGCTATGCTGGAATCAGGATAGTGTGCTTGGATCCCCCCCTGGCAAAGCACAAGCCGCTAGAGCTTCACCTTTAGTCAGAGCAGGCCTTAGCATTAGCCAGAGTGTGACATCCCCTTCAGGCAGTGAGGGCTTGGATGGGTGTGGGAGCAGTGGCAGCAACAACCCGGCTGTTTCTCCTGAACCCATGTCATGTGTAATGCAGCCTAACCCTATGCCCCCTAAGCTGCTCTGCTTTGCTCAGGTGCAGTGAAGGGTGCTGTAAGATTAACCTGCCCATCAGTGTGTGGAATGCGGGGAGGAGAAACATCTTGTCCTTTACCTGAGGCAACAAAATGTCCTGGGCCTTGGAAGCTGTTGGGTTGGTGGGTTCAGCACCAGTGGCCAGCCAAGTTGAGCCCTGGCTGAGGGTCCCAGGAGCTTGGAAGTGCCCACACTGGCTCAACCCAGGCACACTGCCATTTGCACCACTATATATTACTGTTTTAAGTTACCCAAACTGTAATATTCTGCCCATAGATATATGAAATGTATTTATTTCATAGATTTGTAGTCTGGATATGTCTAGGGGTAGGAACTTTCAGCTGGGACATTGCAGTTTGGGTAGCCTAAGATGGCGGTGACCGTCATGGATGGGAGACAAGCCACCACTCATCCACCACTAAAACATGTCTTGAGCCTTCCCCCCCCCCCCGGCAGAGGGTGACAAGTGGTGCCGTCACCAATGTAGCGGCAGCAGCAGAGAAAGCATACGGCAGGCACCGTTGCCACAACCAGATCTGGGTCCTGCCCTGGTTGTGGTAGGTGTTGGGGTGGGTGGGCCCATTGTCAAGGCTGAATCAAGGCCCTGGGCACAAAGTTTGGCACCAAGCATGGGTGCACTGTTAGCATACCAACAGGAAGACGCTACGGCTAGACTCCCATATACTGCCTGCAACATTACTAGGGTTCAGTGAAGAAGAAGAAGAGTTTTGGATTTGATATCCCGCCTTTCACTCCCCTTCAGGAGTCTCAAAGCGGCTAACATTCTCCTTTCCCTTCCTCCCCCACAACAAACACTCTGTGAGGTGAGTGGGGCTGAGAGACTTCAGAGAAGTGTGACTAGCCCAAGGTCACCCAGCAGCTGCATGTGGAGGAGCGGAGACGCGAACCCGGTTCCCCAGATTATGAGACTACCGCTCTTAACCACCACACCACACTGGCTCTCAGTGAAGATTACAAAAGGCTGAGGTTTGCTATTCATACTCAGTGGCCGGAAGCCACAAGCACCTCCAGCCTCAGCAAAGGACACTGTGCCTTTCACCTGCTTGCGGCAGTCACCTGACACTGTCGCTTTCTTGCTAGCTCTCAGTTAAAGGATGATAACTGCGGTTCTGCTCCCCTTGCTAACTAGGGCAACCAAAACACACAAAACTTTATGACGGGTGATTATTTTTACTGGCCAGCGTCCAGCTAGCAAGCACAGACTGGTATTTGGTTTAATGCAGGTCTTAACAGATTGGTGTTGACATTGACCTTTCCTCTTCAGCTAGGACTGGACTTTTTCAGAGACGGTGCTGGGAGATTCTGGGTCCAGTACTTTCTGCATGGCTCCTCAAAGCAGTGTTCTAATATTTTATGTAAGAAGTGGGAATTTGTATGGAGCATTTCTGCCTCCCATCTGCCATATGGGAATAGTAATAGTAATAGTAATAATAATAATAATAATAATAATGATAATGATAATAATAATAATAATGGCCTAAGTGAAATAGTCTATTATATGAAATGCTTAGCATCACTGGGGGGTTGGACTACAGTGGTACCTCGGGTTAAGAACTTAATTCATTCCGGAGGTCCGTTCTTAACCTGAAACTGTTCTTAACCTGAAGCACCACTTTAGCTAATGGGGCCTCCCACTGCTGCCGCACCACTGGAGCACGATTTCTGTTCTCATCCTGATGCAAAGTTTTTAACCCGAGGTACTATTTCTGGGTTAGCGGAGTCTATAACCTGAAGCGTATGTAACCTGAAGCGTATGTAACCCGAAGTACCACTGTACTAGATGATTCTCAGGGTTCCTTACAACTCTACAATTCTATGATTTTAGGAAAAGTGCTGAATTCTAAGAATCTCTCATCTTGTTTCCAGCTTTGGTCAGTCCTAGTGCAGATGACCAGAGACAGAAACAGGATGGGAGGTCAGTTAGGGCAGGTAGGCGTCTCCTCTGAGACTTTCTAACCTTGCAGAAAACATACTGGGAACCAAACTAACTCCTCAAACTCTTCTCCAGACTTTTCTTGGAATCCAGGAGACCACAGCATACAACACATGGTCAGTATTTGGTAAAGGATTCCTAGGCAATGATAGCTGTGTCTCTCTGTGTGTGAGTGAAGGTGGAGGGCAAAAAGGGAAGAGTTCTCTCCACCCATCTCCTCCTCTCCCCCCCCCCTTGCCAATTCTGTGTTTGTGCCTGTATATGGGAGGCGGGCATTAGACAAGCGGATGAGCCCTGACATTAATGGGCTTTTACTACAGGTCTGCTGTAAGTGTGGTTAACATGGAATATTACCCAATGCGAGAGTGTTTGAGGGAGAGTTTGTGTTGTGTTAGTTGAGTTGAGGCAATGGAGCCCTAGCATTAAGTAGCAAGAAAGAAGGGGTGGTGTTAGTTAATGGAGAAAGCTGGTCACTTCAGGAATTGGTATTTACTGTTTCCAGAGTGTCTTTTAACCTTGCTGTATTCTGCTAATTTATTCCTTCTAGAATGCTGAACATCAATAAATGTCAGGGTTATAAATCGGTATTCGATAGACTGGAGCGCCGGATAAGTTGTGGATTAACTCCTTGGACAAAAGAGGAAGATTATGATAAAGCAAACAGTGAGTAAGCATCTGGGCACACCCGTAAGCAACCACTTACTCCAAGTTTCCTTCCTCTGGAAGGACAAGAAATCCAAGACTTCTGCAACTTCCCAGAATAGAGATGAAGTGATAGGAAAAGTCAAACTTGTTATGCTTTTGTTGTTAAAGACATGAAACAGAAAATCTTGCAGCAGCCCTGTGAAATAGTGTTCTTTGGATATCTTCTACAATTGCTTTGAAAAGTGAAAAGTGAAATTGCTCTTGAAGTGAAATGCCTGAATTTTTTTTTTAAGTTCTCCAACTTGAAGTGTTTTGCAAATCCAAGAGCCAGGATTGTGCCAGTGACGAATCTCCACAAAGGAGGTCCTTCTGTTCAGATGCATGACTCCAGCCACGATGTGGTGTTTTATTTGTTCACCGACTTTCACCTCTGTCTTGTTGTAGGGTATGGTTTTGAGCTTGCATACCGCTTTGTGAAATAATATGTGGTTTATAAATAAATGAACTGAATAAATAAGAAGACTTTGGCCTCTATCTTACATTGCTAATGTGGCTATTATATTTACCTTACAAATATGCAAAATCCAATTTAAGCTACTGCTGCTAGTACCAGGTCAGTCACAATGAACAAGTTAGGCCAATTGACTGAACTCATGATGAACACCTCCATCGTTCTCTTAAAATGGCAATGGTGCCCACCTGAGAGGTGCTGGAACTGAGTTCTGGCAAGTTTTGACTGATAAAAAAAAGCCCTGGCAGTGGCTGTCCCAGATGTACACCCCTGAGCTTAATCACGGCTTGTTTTCTCAAATGTGATGGAAGCTGACTTGAGGGAAAACAACTCAAGTAACAGTATTTCTCAAGAAACCTCAGGATACAGATGGGTTGTGGCAAACGTCACAAGGACTCTGCTTCACATACCAGTGATAGGAGTACATTGGCACCAGATAAAATGGTACTGTGTGCACAGGCTAAATTTTAAAGCACCCCAGAGGAAAACAATGAGAAGACAAATGGAATTGCAACACCTACACTTTCTGAGACTTTTCCGATCCGTGGGAGCTGGTATCACTTCATAAGGCACCATTGTGATCCCTGAAAGACAAAAGGTCCTGGAGTTATGTGTGTGTGTGTGTGTGTGTGTGTGTGTGTGCGCGCGCGCGCATAGCCTGTGCAGGGCGCCACGTAAACAGAAATTTGAGATCTTGCCCTCAGGGCTGTGGACTACACAGATTTTTGAGCTTATTTTTAACCCTCATGTAAGAGACTTATTTGATCTGCATTATCTGGCAAAATTCCCTGTTTTCGTCCTTCCAGAAACACAACCTTTCTAATCTACTTTAGCAAAACAACAACAGTTCTTTGGCACACCAGACACTAACAAAAATATTGTTCCAACCAGCGGTTGTTAATCCAGCAGCATTTACGGGAATCATCCTAGACACAAGTATAATTGGCTGGGAAATTAAAGACCTGAATAACTTGATCCATACCAAAGGGATAGAGTCTTATAGGAGCTTCCTTCATTCGAAGTTAGTGTGGTGTTTTGTTGCAAAACTCGCAGGGCATCAAGGAGAAGCGGCTTGCTGGGTGGGGCAGAGCCTCTGTGCTAACTTCCCGGCAGGCGGATCATTGTTCGCACTACGCCCGCCCCACTCTCAGCCATCTTCTAAGTTGGCAGCAGTGACCCACCTGCTGTGAAGCTAGCTGAATGGCTGCGCCTCACCCAATGAGGTGCTTCTGGCCACAAACTATACCCCCAAAAGGCAGAGCTAATAATTCTCCCATGTCTGCCATGTGGAAGACCAAGAGATCACCATGGGCTTGTGAGAACTGGAGGTGCTGCACCACAGCAAAAGAAAATGAGTCCTCTTTGGGGTCTCTCTCCTCACTCTTCTACAGCTGCCACATCTTGTCCATTAAAAGGTAACCAGAACACTGGGTTCTGCTGACCCAGTGTACAACTTCGACACTCTCAAATAGCCCAAAGCCTGGTCGGTCCCCTCCCCCCCAAATACCCCATGATGTGACAGAAAAAGAGCCTTGCTAATCTATCTATTCTAGCATTCTGTTTCTACAGTGACTAACCAGATGCTAATGGAAAGCCCACAAGCATGACATGAGCGAAACAGCTCTCTCTTGCTGCTGGTAACTTGCCCTCAGTGACTAATAGCCACTCAAAGCCTTATCTTCCATGAATTTGTCTAAACCTAATTTTGGCCACAGCACATGCAGAAGACACTGTTTTATTTGTGTTTGGTTCTATCCGGGTAAATATGCTTCTTAGTTTTGTTAGATTTAATGTAACAAATGTAACAGATTTAATGTAATGTATTTTGTTAGATAAATGTAATTTGTTTATTTTTAAAGGTCTTTAATGATCTATTTTTAAGGGTGCATTAAGCTATATAGTTTATTTTACAACTATATGCATCTGGATCTACACGGAGAGGAAGAGATTTCAATCCATTTCACTGCAATCCCTGGTTTAGAGTTTGCTTTTTGCATAACTTCGGCACATTGGATCAACATTTTCAGAAAGCTATCCATCATGACTCCAAGCCCTCTCCTGGTCACACCACAACGCAAACTCATTTGATTTGTAGGTATGTTAAAGGAGCAATGCATTTGACTTCAAGTGTTATATATGTGGCTGCATCATTCTGAAGGGTTTCTGAGTCTTAATGTGAAACAAAGGGACTGAGAGGCTGTGCATACACCAGGTTGTTAATGTGTACGTTAATGTGTACACAGATCCAGCTTTTTCCAAGGATTGTGAATGAAATGACCCAAATTTGTATTTTTGTCAGCATATGATTAATTTTAATTTTCATTCAGTTGTATTGTCTTTCTATATTACTGCATGCCATTGAAGCATATGTTCTTGCTTAAATGAAACAAAAATATTGTAAAATAAAAAAAATCTACAGCATCATGTGTTGAAGAATTATTTGAGCCTATGAATGCATCTTGCTAGCTGTAGCATTTTTGTGGAGCCAACTCACCTTTTTGAAGGGCTTTGTTGATGAAGCAGAGTCCGAACATGGACACTTGGGATTTCAAGTCACTCAGGGTCTGTTTAAGTGCTATGAAACTGGTGGGCTCCTCACACTTCAGTCCAATCAAAGCTTCTGTGCAACCCGACATTACTCTTATTTTTGGGAAGTCCTGTGGGAACAAATAGATTTTAACAAGAGATTGAAACTCACTGAAACATTTTTGGAAGAGAGAATTTTGATGTCCTCATCACAGAAATGGAACCATCTTGGTTTGCCTGCAGGCTTTCTGACTACATGTATAGAATCCAGGGCCAGCCCACCCATGAGGCAAGATGAAGAGACCACCTCAGGTGGCAGGATCCACAGGGGCAGCAGATCCCAGTGTAGATCTTCATTCACCCCTCTTGTTCCTGGTGTAGATCTTCACTCACCCTTTCTTCCCTGGCAGGGTGTGTGTGCACCATTTTATGGTTTACCTCAGGCGCCAATATTTTTCAGGCTGGCCATGCAATCATAGAGTTGGAAGGGACCTCAGAATTCATCCACTCCAGTCCTTTGCTCAATGCTGGATATGTACAGTGCAAAATACAAATCTGTTTAAGTGCCTCCAGTGAAGAAGAATCTACAACTTTCCCCCTCTGCCCAGAAGGGGCACCATCACAGCAAGGCATGACAGGAGACTATTTAATGTTTTGAATGCATCAGGTTTTTGAATTTCATGGTGAAAATACCAGAGATATTTGAGAAAATTTTCTTTAAAAAACAACAACCTGTTAACAACCTTCCCCCTTTTTAATTATCCAAGGGAACATGGATAATTGGTTATAACTATCAGGGCATGATGGCCTGAAGGCACATGGTACAGTAACTGTGTTCAAACGAAGCAGCTGCAAGTCTGAGCAGTGCATGCATGGGAGACCGAACTGATTCTGCCTTCACAACAGAAGAAAGGAAAGTTAGAAATGTTATAAGAGCTAGTGTAGCTTCATGGTTAGAGTGTTGGACCAAGACCTAAGAGACTAGGACTCAAAGCCCCACTCAGTCATGAAGCTCCCTGAGTGACTTTGGGCCAAGTCACTGTCCCTCAAGACCTAACCTACCTCACAGGGTTGTTGAGAGGATAAAATGGGAAGGGAGGTGTAGTGCCAAGATCTTTACCTTCAGTTCAAAGGATCGCACAAACACTCGCACATGACGAGGATATAATAATGCTACTGGAATATCACTGAATGCTTTATTGCTCTTTTGCTATGGGCCAAATACGGCCTTATAGGCTAAATGCCACCTCTATGCAAACAGGCCCATTCCTCCCGCTACATTCCATTTGTGTTTCTGCAGTGTGGCTTAAATGGTACAGAGGTCATTTGCTCACATAACATGGTGTTCAGTTTAAGACTCTGTTTTATTATTTGCATTTCTCTAGCGGCTTAGAGAAACAGTTGATCAAACGAAAAATAAAGTCACACTCTTTGGGCATGTTTTTAGCAAAAAGAGGAGTTTTTGTTGCTGTTCCTCACTGGAGATTTTAGAATCAAGGCAGGTGATTCTGTGAAAACATTTATGAGCGGCAGTGTATAAGGAGTTGGGAGTCTCTTGCTTCAGATGGGCAGCTGCTGCCCAATCCACTGGGGCTACATGACCTGCTGCTGCTGGCATCAGGGGAGAATTTTGTAAACACATAACAAGTACAATCTAATAATAAGCAGGTGATGGAAGCTGGCACCAGCTCTAGCCTTGTGAAAATAAATGTCCTTTGCTTACTCTCTTGCTCTTGGTACTGGCACACTTCCCAGCAGAGTAAAGAGGAATATGTGGTAGAGGAATTTCACCCAGCACAGTACAATCCTTAACCGAGTCACCCTCTTTCTTTCATGCTAATAATGGGTGGGGCGGTAGCAACAATGGTAGGAAGCACCGACCATTTAAAGGACAAAAGAGGTCAGAAAGGGTTAAGAGATGCCTGAGAAGAATCAGGTTGCTCAGCATGTTGTCTGGGGCTGATGGGAGTTGTAGTCTAAAATATCTGGTGGACACGTTTGGGGAAGATTGCCTACTCTATTCTGCCTTGGTCAGACCACACCTGGGATACTGTGTCAAATTCTGGGCACCACAATTTAGAAAGGATATTGACAAAGCTAGAATACATGCAGAGGAGAGCGACCAAGATGATCAAGGGTCTGGAAACCAAACCTTATGAGGAACAGTTAAGGGAGCTGGGTATGTTTAGCCTGGAAATGAGAAGATGGAGAGGAGATATGAAAGCTATCCTCAAATATCTAAAGGGCTGTCACATGGAAGCAAGCTTTTTTTATCCTGCTCCAGAAGGTAGGACTCAAACCAATGGATTCAAGTCCACTAAACATCAGGAAGAACTTTCTGACAGTAAGAGCTGTTAAACTCCCTTGGGAGGTGGTAGACTCTCCTTCATTGAAGGTTGAATGGCCATCTGTCATTGATGCTTTAGATGAGATTCCTGCATTACAGGGGGTTGGACTAGACGGCCCTCGGGGTCCCAACTCTACAGTTCTATGATTCCCTGGTCTTGACTGTGCTCCAATTACAGTGTGGACTCTACCTGCAGAAACTGATGGTCACTTGGGTCTTCCATGAGACCTGTCAGCCAGTAATTCTGCTTCTGGAGATCAATCAGCTGCTCTTGACTGTGCTGAATGGAATTCCCCATTCCAACTAAGGCCGATCTTTCTTCTTCATCTATAAAGTCCATCACCTTGTTCTGCAGTCGCTTGAGCTCTTTCATCGCCTCGGCAAAGGCCCTATTCACTTCGTCTCGGGCCGTCTTCACTACTTTCTGAAAGGGAAAGGCAATGCCAAGCACATCACATTTTCACCTACCATTGTTTAAAGTATGGAAGTTGCTACCACACGATGTAGCATTGACTTGGGCAGCATTAAAAGTGGATTTGAGAAATCCATGGAAGATAAGGCTACTGATGGCTGCTAGTCATGATGGCTATGTATTGCCGTGATGCCTGTGAATCCTAGTGTTATGTACTGAGTTGAAAAGGATCCAAAAGGCAGCAGTCTGATTGGTCCTAGAACAATAGGATTCAGAATGCAGCAGTCTGATCGATCCACAGGAGCCACCCAATCCAGCTCCAGGTGAAAGTGAATCCGCAACCTGATTGGCTTACAGATGAATCCTGGAATTAGCCAATCACGTGGGGCCCATGGTGTAAATAATGTATATAAAGCAGACATTCTGGGGGAACTTCCATTCCTTCTCACCAGTATGAGCTGAATAAAGAGCATGAAATGCACTCTCGACTCGGAGTATATTTCACTTAGTGACTGGGGATTGCATGTGGGAGAGTCCTATTGTGCTCATGTCCTGCTTGTGGACTCCCCCTAGGCATCTGTTTGGCCACTGTTGAATGTTGGATTAGGTGGGCCTTGGACCTGATTCACTAGGGCTCTCCTTATCTTCTTACGTGTTCATTTAATACTCCTTTGTGAAATTCTCAGGGTAGGTGCAGACACACATTTTTAAAGTGGCAAAGCTGCTATGGAACCATAAATAAATAAGGAGCAATTGGTTCTGCTGGTTTCTAGCAAAAGTACTGCGCGCACACTGCTAATTGGGTTCATGCTCCCAACTTTGTCTTCCTCCCGAGAGCACCCTTTCAAGTGAAGAGAGTCCTGCTATCGATAAAAGAAAATAAGGCACCAAAGAAGCAGGCTAACTTGCTTGTTGTGCTTTCTTTTCTTTTCATTTTTTCCTTTGAAAGAGGATTGTCCACCTGAAATGTGGTGGTGAAGAGGGAAAGGAAACAAAGGGAATCAGCTTTCAGTCTGGAGGGCCTATGTGTGTAATTTGAGGAGAGGTAGTCAGAAGAAAGCAGAGCTCACCAACCACAGGAAACCCTATTCCTGTTTGCGCTGGGATGTCTGTATGTATTGTATTGTATTGTGGTCCCTTTCAGTGCTGTTTAGCTGCTTTATTTATCAGATAGTCCTTCACAATAAAAGCTGGACACATTTTCTAAAAAAGAAAAGAAGCAGCAACATGTCGCTTGTAGGACTGACAGCCTCAACTGCACAGCAGTTCCTTGAAGCAACCATGTTGTTAGGTCTTCAAACGATGCAGTTTGTGATCTAAAGCAGGTGTCCCCCAAAATACATTGTTTTGTACATCTGCAAGCCCTGAGTCTACTGATAGCTCATTCCTATGCATGAATGTTACCACTTTGGCTACATAAGAATTCATACTCAGATGATGAGTTTGCTATTAGTATATAGGAGAAGACTCTCAGTCAGCCAGAAGAACAGAATGGGAGCCAAACAGGACCTGGGATGTTCCATGGAATAGCAGAGAAAGTTAGCATTTGCTAGGGGTCTTTCAGGATGGCTAGGCAAAACCTTGACCTCCAGCTCTAAAGAAGTGTCAACCACTTGACTTCAGTATAGTGGTACCTCAGGTTAAGAACTTAATTCGTTCTGGAGGTCTGTTCTTAACCTGAAACTGTTCTTCACCTGAGGTACCACTTTAGCTAATGGGGCCTCCCGCTGCCGCCGCACGATTTCTGTTCTCATCCTGAAGCAAAGTTCTTAACCCGAGGTACTATTTCTGGGTTAGCGGAGTCTGTAACCTGAAGTGTCTGTAACCTGAGGTACCACTGTACATGCAAATACATGCCCACGTGAAGAATGGTACAATACTGAGTGGCAGTAAGTGCCCCTGGATCTGTGGGATGTGCCATGGATTCGGTCCCTTCCCTCAGAAGCTTTTCTCACCGTAAGGTAGTTCACTCTGCCCCTGTGTTGCTGACTGTCCGCTGCCAACATCAAGACTTGGTTTTCCACGTTGGCTTGTACTCTCCTGACTTCGACCTGGGAAAGAAAGAATTAGAACATGGAAGCAGCAGCCTGGGGATGACGACTTCACATACACCTCTTTTAAAAGTGGAGCATAAATAATCAATGCTCAATTTTTAAAAAATCAGATGTGTGGGATGTGTTTTCCAGTTTTATAGAAGAGATCCTGTTTGGACTCACATTACAAAGGACTGGACTAGATGAACAGCCGCTGGAATCATTCAGGAAGACTATTTTTTATTCACAAACTGCTTTTTGACGCAAAATGTCTTCAATGCAGCTTACAATAAAAAAAAAAAAGAATTTAAAATTCTGATATTAATACCTCATACAAAACCTAGCAATATTCATTCATAAACTTTATTACGCTAGCCAAAGGCTATGGCATCATTCACAGGGGGAACAAAAGGAAAAACAGCAATAACCATAAAAACAGTTTTTTAAAAAAACATTTAACACTACCGGTGCAATAAACCACGGTCAAGTCTCCTAGAGATTATTTGTTGCATGAGCTGGAATAGCAGGGAAATCTCAGGTAAAATATGCCAGCTTAAATGTCTGAATCCCCTTTGCAGTTGACACCTAACTATATGGAACAGCAGAACAATACACCATTAAAGCAGTGCTGAGAAGCCTTGACAATTCCATGCTAGTTGTCTGGTAAAATAAAAAAAGGCAACCATTGAACAAAACACCTGAAGTATGGGAAATAATGAAGCCTCCAAGGCGAGGGAGTTTCCATCGCAAACTGTACCTCCAATGATTTTGGGACAACAGGGCTGGTTTAAGACTTATGACTACCTGAGGCAAAGGATAAGATGATGTCCTCCAGAGAAGCTGACTGGATGGCAGTCGAATTTTACTTCAATAGTACAGATGGGATAGCATGACCCCCCACACCTGAGGGCAGCAGGGGTCCGGGACAAACTACATGGCACACAGAACTGTGCTCTCTGACAGAAGGGAATGGCTAGGAGACTCAGGAGAAGGATCCACAGCCTCTAGTATCTGCTAGTCACCTCACTCTGCCCAAGAATGGGGGTTAATCATGTGGGGTATTTAGAAAAGCCTCACCTGATTATCTTAATAGGCAGGGAAGTTCTTATCTCAGTTTTCAATTTTTTCTTTTCTTATGAAACTGGGTGTGACCGGATAGGGTGCTGTCCTCAGCTGAACCCTTTTGTTCAGCTTCTAACCAACTTTGTCCAAATTGCACAATCTCAAGGGCAAGCAAACTCAAAATAAAACAAGGCATAACAATCTTGGTGTCAGTATGAACTGGTTCACTGCTTTTGTTGCAATGGCAAGTTGATGGGCTCACTTGTCTTCTGCTAGCTTGCTTGAAAAAAAATCACTCCTAATGTGACTGTTTCTCCTTTTAGAAGATATAAAGGATGTGAAAGAAAAGTACATACAGGTACAAGCCATATATCACAAATACAAACAACATTTTAACCTCATAGCTAATATGTCTAGTGTATAGTTCACCAGCTCTACATAGCTTCATATATATATACATAACACTTGGGCTCATCATTTTATTATTTATTTATATTTAAAAGTTATATCCCACCCTATGTCATAGGGCACATTATAGCAAGCAACACATTAACATGTCAGTAACATTAAAGCACATAATCTCTTTCGTTTTCCAAGTTATGAATAGGCAAAAAACAATAAAAACAGGATAAAGCATCATTGTTATAGAAAAAAAAGTATGTATTCTGAAAATTATTGTATCTCCTCTAGTCCTCAACAGTGTCAAACAGATATACAGTGATACTTCGGGTTAAGATCTTAATTTATTCTGGAGTTCCATTCTTAACCTGAAACGGTTCTTAACCTGAGGTACCACTTTAGCTAATGGGGCCTCCCGCTGCTGCCGCGCCGCAATTTCTGTTCTCATCCTGAGGTACTATTTCTGGGTTAGCGGAGTCTGTAACCTGAAGCGTCTGTAACCCAAGGTACCACTGTAAATCTCTCATTTTCCAAACCCCCCAAACCTCCCCCCACACAAACAAAAAACCCAACAGAGAGAGAAAGGGAGATAGGTGGGAACTAAGACTAAATTGATAGTATATACATTTTTATCAGTCTCATTTTTTAGCTAATACTATCAGTTTCTGCTTCTCTATATTTGTCCTATTTATCCTGGAGTTCTAAAAACTGAGGATTTACCCAAGTTTAAACAAACTTCTATACCTTTTCACATGTCATATTCCAATTTTTGTCCTTGGGGGGGAGGGAAACAAAACAAAAGGCGTTGGGAGGAAAGCAAATTCTCCCTCTGAATTGTTAAGAGTTTCCCCCCCCCCCCGGGCCGTCCCATCTCTAGCGCCTACCAATGGAAAGAAAAGTGATGAAGAATAGAAATAAGAGAAATAGGGTAAAATGGGAGATGGTCTGTGCTACTGAAATCCCAACCTGACCCAGTGGGAAGTGACGCTGCCTCCCCTCCCCCAGTTGCCAACCAAGAGGGGTGAAGGAAGCCACACGCACGATCTCCAAAAGATGTTGATAGGAATCGTTTAGGAGAGGGGGCTATAGTACAGGGGGCTATAGTACAGGGGGCTATAGTACAGGGACTATTGGCAGGGGGTTGGACTCGATGGCCCTTGTGGTCTCTTCCAACTCTATGATTCTATGATTCTACTGACCTAGCACCAGTTGTCCTCTTCTGAAAGTTGCATTCCAGGAAAACTAACTGCTGACTTTAAAGGATGGCATGATACTACTCACTTCTTTCTTGCTCCTGTCGTCCTTCAGAGAGATGGCGTCATGATTCTTGTGCTCTTCCCGAACACAGATGTGGCAGATGAATTTCCCTTCGATTCTGCAGAACAGCTCCAGGAGTCTGTGATGTTTCAAGCACATATTAGCCTTCAGGTCATTGAGAGGTTTTATCAGCTGATGGTTCCTGAAGGCGTTGTCTTCATAGTGGGAACGGATGTGGTTTTCGCACAAGGAAGCCATGCATTGCAGGCAGGACTTGACAGCCTTCATCTTCCTGGGGGAGCAGAAGTCACACAAAACCTCCCTCTGACCTGCCAGCTTCCTTGACCCTTGGGCTTCTTCCCGTGCGAACCTCGTGGCGATTTCTCCCAGGGTTGTGTTTTTGCGCAGTTGAGGCCTCGAACTGAAAGGCTCACGACACTGAGGGCAGTAGGGGCAATCCCCAACCAGGGCTTGGTGGTCCCAGTAATCCTGCAAACAGTCCATGCAGAAGTTGTGTCCGCAGGCTGTGGTGACGGGGTCTCTGAACACCTCAAGGCATATCGGACACACAATGTTGTCCTCAAGGAAAAGCAAGCTAGCTTTCTTCATAATAACACTTTCTTTTTTGGCTGAGACTCAGCTAGTGCTTGTAGTTGCACAAAACCCTAGGAAAAGTTGGGCTGCCACCTGTTTTTTTAATATATAAAAAAAACAGTAGTTGAAACAAATGGTTTTTAATTGACTGGTTAAAAATGCACATTTGCATAGAGCTAAGAAAATAACATTTTAGAATAAATAGTGTGTCTTTGAAGATATTGCAGAGTGCACTAAAAGTAAACAAAATGTTTAAATGTCTTGCCTAATTGACTGTGGGCAAAGTTTTAGTTGCTCAAACTTTTATTTACTTAAGTTACTACAACCAATTTCCGGTAATTGGCGGTTGTAATTCCTGTTAAAAGACAATGGCTTCCTCATGTTGAGATGCAATAGGTAGTGTTCTTTGCAGATGGTTAAACCTGTTACCAGTCTTCAGTGGGTGAGACTGCATCAGTCACACTCAGGAAAGAGCTAGTCTAAGAAGGAGGCAAGACTGGCACAGTGAATCCTGCAGGAACAGTAGACACAACTTTTGGATTTTGTGTTGTAGCACAAAAAACCCCCCAGAAGATCTGGGATAATCTGGGTTAAAACTATGTGGAAAGAACCTACTCGGTACAGGAGTCTTGGCTGGATTATTTCTGTTCCTTCCATCCCTAGCTTTGTGACCCTATAATTCTACAAACAGATGGATTTTTATCAGTGAAACTTATTTCCCACACTCACCTGTTCAGCTGTGATACAAAGTCAATTGTGGCACTCTGTAACATTAAGTACCATCTGGCAAAAATTAGCAACCCGTAGGTGCTAATAGCAACTGTTCTACCTACTAACAGATCCCTCAGCTAGCTCCAGTGGCTAAAGGTTTTACGTTGTTCTTTTCTTGGTCCAAAACAGCAACTCATATTGAGTTCCTGTCAGTTTACAGTCTTTCATGGGGTCTGAATTTGCTATGTGACATCACAGTTCAAACTACAAGGGAGGGGGGAGCTAAGCACTCTGGTTATGATGTCATTGCACAAGCAGGTCCAAGTCAAACATTAAAAAGGCCACTCTTGAAAGCTCTTGCAAGGGGAGGTAGGCTATAGACACCTCAGAGAACTGACATGAAGAGGGAAGACCACATTGAATGGAAACCAGGCACTTTGAGGCAATTCTTCCCTCTGTCCTCTTAATTTGGTCGAAATACTGGTCAGATATTTCCCAGAAACAGAAAAATGTACTTTTTTAAAAAAATGAAATAAAACAGTCTCTATTTTTGATGAGATACACTTAGCTCTCTCTCAGGAAGACAGCATAACGATTTCAACATTTTGCATTGCATCACCAGCACAATTTCGTTCAGCATCTTGTCCTCAAGTATATTATCTGCTTAATTAAAAAAAGGTAAAGGACCCCTGGATGGTTAAGTCCAGTCAAAGGCAACTATGGGGTTGTGGTGCTCATCTCGCTTTCAGGCCAAGGGGGCCGGCATTTGTTCACAGATAGCTTTCCGGGTCATGTGGCCAGCATGACTAAACCACTTCTGGTGCAATGGAACACTGTGATGGAAACCAGAGCGCACGGAAACACTGTTTACCTTCCTGCCGCAGCTGTACCTATTTATCTACTTGCACTGGCGTATTTTCAAACTGCTAGGTTGGCAGGAACTGGGACAGAGCAACAGGAGCTCACCCCATCATGCGGGATTTGATTTGGGATGCAGGTGGAGCCGTGGTCTAAACCACTGAGCCTCATAGCCTTGCCGTTCAGATCTGTTTAATTATTGTACGGTTGGGAACACTGTCTCCACAGGTGGCCAACTTTCCTGTGAGAACAACTGCTCAGGTGTAAGTACCCCACAGGCCTACATTCTTAGCATCATGTGTTTGTAATACTAGTAAAGAAGTAAAATATGATCTCTATGAAAATACAGAAGCTTGACATGCTACTTTTTAGGCTTCAGAGAACTACAAATTACACTGAAACATAGACTACAGGGTATAGGTTAATATTACCTGCATGGCTTTATCCTCCAAATGTACAGAAAAGGGCAACCAGTGTTATCAAGGGAATGGATAAATGTGAAAAAAAGTTACAGCATTTGGGGCTTTTCAGAGAAAAGGAAAATAAGCAGCGACATGGAAGTATAGTAGAATTGTAGTGTTAGAAATTATGCATGACATGGAGGAAGTGTATAAATATATTTTTCTCCTCCTGTCATAATACTAAAACACATGGACATTCAATGAAGTTGAATGTTGGAAGATTCAGAAGAAAAATAAAGAGAGTAGTGGCCTTGTAACTTTCAAACTCCTTATTTTTTGAATGATCAGAGAAGTCACCTCACCTCATTCTTAGTATTTTAGCACCCTTAATTCTCAATGGCCTGAGACGCAAGTCTCCTTTGGACAACAATGAAAACATAAAAATGATATAAAATTGTACCCTCCGGTATTAAAAATGAGGACCCCAACTTTTTTTAATCTACAAGGTAGTAGCTTAAACCCATGACAATGGATCTGCTTTCACCCTTACATTTCTGTCTTGTTTAAGTAGGCAGTGTGTGAACAGGCATTAGGTGTCTTCTCTTTGATGACAGCATTTTCTGTTCTGCTGCAAGAGTTTGGGTAAAGTGTAAGAGCTTGTAAGCTTTCAGCAACAGAACCACCAAAAGCTATTGCTTCCAGGTTAGAAGTTGTTGCAGTCTTTGTGACAGAGAAAACACACGTGAAAGACACTCCCAAGCTCTCTTTACTACAGGTAGAGTTGTAGGGCATAAGAAAATAGCTCAGATGCTCAAGTCATGTCAGAATCTTTATTGGAAAAAAAAAATCACAGCATCTCCATTATTATTCAAACACATTTAATAAACAAAGAGAAACAGTAGCAAAGGGCACTGACATGTGACGAACTGTACAAAACCTCAAGGTTTGCAGGCAAAACCTGAGGGTGAGGAGCCCACGGCCCAGCTGCGGAGGTCCGAGGAGCCAACCCCCACCCCCTTGTGGAAAACCCCCCTCCCCTCGGACCACTCAGTCACCCCTGAGAAAAATTGATTAAAAATGTGCAGAAACAAAGACACTTTTAAGAGGTTAGCTCCAACCTTGCTGTAACGGAATAATTGGCCACTGGGAAACTGGACCTGCTACTGGTCCCCAGGGGCTAGCTAATATTTTAAAGGAAACCTCCTCAAGAGATGCAAATCACCCAGATAAATACCCATCCTATCATTTGCTCCTCTCTTTTCATTTACTGCCTTCTGCAGGGGATACAGGGTTCTTACTTATTTTCCAGCTTTTTAGTTTAGGAGATAATGTTTGGACAGAGATAAAGGCAAATGGAAGGAAAAGCCCTGTTGCTAATAAAGGCAGAGATAAAACTGGTGCAGAACATGGAAGCCAGTTCTTGAGATTAACAGGGCCTGGAAGTGACCTGTCTTTGTGGGGAAAGAATATCACAAATGGATGAGCTAGAATGGTGTCTTGCCGTAGCTGGATATCAAGCCCTTATACTAGGAAAGCCAATAGCTTTTCCAATCTCTAATACTGTTTCTATCTCCAGCTAAACAGCTCACCACTCCAGGGAGGGTCCCAACAAATTTGATTACTTTAGTTGAGAATACTTAACAAGGAAAGGTAGGGAGAAGGCAATTGTGTTCCAGTGAAGAACTTAAAATCCACTGAAAAACTCTCACTAGTTGTCAGCAGCAAGTGGAGTATATAGGATAGGACTACCCCATTTATTAGGCAGAAACACTGCTTCTCAGAGAAGTTTAACTGCAATCCCGCTGTAATGCATTGCATCAAGCCAGTTACGGCTCATCTCACAATCTGGTTTTCCTCCAGATTCCAATGGAGCCATTCCCAATGGCACAATATGGGCAACAGAATGAGTCTTATTTATCCAGTCTGTTATCCTGACATCAGGCACTCCTCTAATGGGGCTTCCCCATGCATGGTGTTTTTTGGTGACTATAAAATAAAGCAATGAGGTATTCATTTTGATTAACTAAAGCTACACAGTAAGGTCTCCTTCCAAGCAAACCTAACACTGCTACGTGCCCAGCAAGGTGGGGAATGAGTTGGGTTAGGCCATGTTGGAAATGGCAGCTACTCTTGGCATTGTCAGCCTGTTTTTCTTTCAACTAGTTCATAGCACCACTGCCCACTCTCGCCTCCTCCCTGAGAACGAGAGATTATGAGGGTATATGTGAATGCTATATATATAAATATATATCTGCAGTTCTTATACTTCCTCGCAGCACATACACACCCGATTATTTATCAGTTGTGGACATACACTGACAACAGCTGAAGGTACAAGATAGGGGTTTATGTACACATCACAGTGTTAGTTAGATCCAGCCAAGACGTACAGTCTAATCATGCCAATACCAACACATTATAAACAGGAAGGGCAGGGCAAGACTGGAATGTTGGTTTACTTCAACACAATATGGAGCCAGTTGAGTCTCAGCAGCCACCGACTGACCTCAAGACCTTTGGTACAGTCTTCTTGTAATAGAGACTGAACTAGGACATGTTATTCAAACCCTTAACCTACCAAAACTTCTCTGGAGGTGCATTGTGGGAAGCTCAGTGATATATGCACATACAAACTGAAGAACGATGGAGGATGTGGGGCAGCGGGGAATTAAGTGCCAAACTTGATTTAAACTCCATGCATTTTATCCGCGATGAGGCCTTTAATGTCCCCATCCAAACTTCACGCACTGTCCTTCTACCCCACCCTTTTCACTTTTAAGGAAGAAATAGAACGAGAAGCCTCATCAACTCACACTATAAAACATAAAGAAGACACAGTGAATGCAATTCCTTGGTGGAAAATTCCAAACACATCAATTTGTATATAAGGGGTCTTCAGATTGTAAGCGGAGAGCTTTGATTATTGCCGAGGGACACCAAAGCATTTCAATTTTTCTGAAACTTTGGTTCGGTATGTTTTGGGGCTTATCTCAAAGGCCCAGAAGTCAAGATGACTCCCAAGGACAAAGCCAGGATATGGAGGGGAGGTACCATGCAACAAATGCTTAAGGGATTCCCATTTACCAACAACTAGGAGGGGACATTTCACTGATTAGGGATGGCACGAGTTCACCAACAAGATCAGTGAGTCCCATTTGGCTAAGATCAGAAGAGAGGCACGACATTTTCACGTCCATTCAAGGCATTCCAAAGGAAAAAAAAACATTACAGAAGTTCACACACCACTTTGGACAAGAAAAAAAAAATCACAACAGTTTGGCAACTTTCATCACCACCCCTCCCCACCCCCCGCAATACCACTTAGTTATTTTGGGTAAGATAATACAATAAAAGGAGGTGGAGGATTGAAAGTGCAGAATCACCATGTGTAAATAAGGGACCCTCCGTCCCTGAATGTATTGGATAAAGAGTTGTTAAAGCCTACCAAAGTAACTAAGAGTACAAAGAAAACCTGCTTTTAATGCAGGACGAACAAGGGGGTCTTTTCATGCTGCTGAATACAAGACAAGGCAAAGCTGAACTTGGCAGGGACAAATCCTCCAGATCAAAGAGCAACTTTAAAGTTAGTCAAGGGACTATACTCCAGGCTCTGGCAGGAAAAAAATGGGACATAAGCCCCATTGCCACGCTCCCCTGACATTTAAGAGAATAAGAGATAGTAGAAATGGATTTGAAATTTGCAGAAATAGCATATTTTTAAAGATGTGTGAATGGCGATGACCAAACCACACTGCGAGAAACGTTCAGAGCTTATATTTTAGTGTTATCTGAAGAAAAACCCTTCAGCCAAGGCCCCATGGTAAACATAACCCCACCCACTCCCAAATTAAAAATTGCCCATCTAACAGGTATCTGAGTCAGTCACAGATCCAAAACAAAAATAATTATTTTTTTTTGCTTGGGGGGGGGGTTCAGGAATGTTCTTGGTTTAGACATTTTCTTTCAAATGTATTTTCATCAGATCTGGGAAAGCGTGTTACAAATTTCTTTAAAAATGACACCATTAAACAAAACTCCTCAGTCATTAGTCCAGACCATTGATGCCTGGGATATCTTAAAAGAGCCCAGGAATCTGGGCAGCCCTCCCTTTTAGCCCTCTCTAAAGAGAGCCAAAAACACAATTAAATAAAAATAAATCACATCAGTGCCAAGACAGAAATAAAAAGAAACAGAGTTAGTGGAGTAAAGGGGGCTATCTGGCTGGAAGATTCTCTTCTTTCTTCATCTTCTGTAACTGGAGTGGGATGAGCCTTTGGTTTTCACCAGGATTAATTTTCTACTGGCAGGACAGGCTCAGCTTTGCTTTGTGTTAATTTGATTACTGTACAAAAGCAAGGTTGGACTGCAGGAAAAATGCTCTGCCCAGCTAGATTGCCCTTTTGACATCTGGGAGTTTTAAAGTATTAGATGCTTAGATTACATCCGTGATCCTCGTTCCTGAAGAATCTGTGGGGAGAGAAGCACCAAGACAACAGCAGTTAGCTAGAATTTATATGATTGGAACTTATTGCAACAGAGGGGGAAAGAAACAGAAGGAAAAATCTGAACTTTGTACCATAGTACTTAGCACCTGGCTTCTCACCCAGGGTATTATAGGAAAACGTTATTAACTACAGGAAACTAAATACTCTACAAAATAAACCCTTAGCTGGTTAGGTTCTTTGTTATTGCTAAACTGAATTATTTAGCTCCAGGCTAAAATATTTGACTTTTGAGGCATACTTGGGCTGTGCTTTGGCATCTGGTTCTGTCTAATAATACATGTATAGTTTTGTTTTGTAGGCACCTTTGGTATTGATACATATTGGCCCTTCCAGCTCACTATTTGTGCTACACTTTAAGTAGATTTCATCATCAGTTTTAAGCTTCTGTTTCATGGATTAAACTGCTGGGAATAGTTGGACTATATCAGCTTTCAAGTTGTTCTAACACTACAGCATTGTGTGGCTTGTGAATATTTGTGGATGCAGTCACACAGAAAGCTGCCATATAACAACAGCTGGTCCATTAGCTCTGTGCTGCCTACACTGACTGGCAGCAACTTGCCAGTTTCAGGCACGATTCTCTCCCAGCCCTACCTGGAAGGGCTGGGGATTGAACCTGGGACTGAGCTATAATCCATCCCTTATCTTAACCCACAGCTTCTCTCGATCTCCCTTCATTTTTCAGATCAATGTAAGATTTAGTGACAGAGGCTACAGGTTGAATCCAATGGTGTCTGTTAGCTGACAGCAAAGGTTCCATCAATGGAATGGGGAGAGAAGCCACTTTCAGCAATACCTCTGCAGTCTCCTTATTGCCCCCACCACCACCAAAAAACACCCACAATATTCTAGAGGGTCCTCCAACCCTCTTGAGCAGATGTAGATTATGTGCTTAGAGGGCTATGGGTGGAAGGAGGAACTACTGAAAATTACTCCCCTCCCTGTTTCATGGACGGAAGCCTTATTGTCAAATAGGCACCATTAGATACAACCCTATAGCACAAATATATTCAGAAATGTTAACATGGTCCTTGCCAACTCCTTTATGCAGCACTACATTACGCATGGGAGACATGTCCTGTGCAAATTTGCAGTGGTGACAGTGCTAAAGAGAAGACCAGACTCTCTGAACCTGCAATCCTATACATACTTATCTGGAGTAACCCCACTGATACCAACAAGATTTACTTCTTAGCAGACATTGCACTGAAAGATTAAAAGCTCCCAGAGACTCTTTCAGAAACTTTACGGAAGATGGAAGCAGGGAGAGGAACTGTTTCTAAAGATTACCATTAGGAGAACATACTGAAAGCTTGACAGCTTCTTTACCAGATATTTTCAGAATTAACTGACCAATAAACTAGGAATTATCTACCACCACCCTTGCCTCCCTCATTTCAGTGGCTTATTGTTATACTTCCACAATTTCTAATTGTAGGGTATTGCATTTATCTTAGACTTTTATGTTGTGAACCACCCTGAGATCTACAGGTACAGGGTAGTATACAAATTATTATTATTATTATCATCATCATCATTATTATTATTATTGACAAAACTCTGACTAACAGGAACTATACACCTTGCAACATCAAAAGCAAGCTGCCTTCTGTATTTATTCCATTCTGTATTAAGAAACATTAATGTGATCCTCAAGGAATTCAATCGCAAGCAGGTTCCTCACCTTTGCTTTCTCACTAGGCTCTATCACTATGCCATTGGTAGAGTTATTGAGCTCTCTGGACACAACACATAGAAATTCTGCTTGGTCTTCATTTCCATAGTTATAAGAAGATCCAATACTGATTAGCTAATGAAATAAAAACAAGAGAATGTAAAAGTTAGAAGCAGCAATAAACAAGGAATAGTATAGAATTAGCCTTAAAATACTAGGCTAAAATGGGTTGGGGTTCTCCAGATGTTATTGCACTCCTGTTCCTGTCATTTACAGATAGTATAACAATAGAGCAGTTGTGATGAAAAATGTAGTTCAGCAACAAGTGGAAAGATACAAGATTCCCATCACTGAACTAAAATATGATCTTCGTCTGTATTTAGTCTCTCACAGTGATCAAATACAGATCTGCATGAGAAAGCATTAAAGAGTACAAGACGGAGCACCCTGCACCTTTATATTCCTTATTAACTTTTAGAAGGTTTAAGGACACATCCATACTTTAGTCTGAGCCCCCGAAATGCTGTGATTCACAAAACCAACAAGCAATCCATGTGTATTTTCTGTCAAGCTATTGTGCTCCTTCTTGTTATTACTTAAAATTCCACCAGTGCCATTTTAAAATATACACACTAATATTTTTCCCCCCAAAATGAAAAAGGCCACAGATGCATCTAGGAAACACCAAACAAGGAAATGAATAATTTAGGACTGAGTTGTATCCAACTAAATTACTGTGTGTGCAGAACGACATCTGCAAGTGCGATAGAACTGGACTTTTACTGGTTTATTTAAAAGCATTTCTAGGCAGCTTAATATTTTTTAAAACCTTTAGCATTATGGAAAAGTAGCAAAAAACAATGTTATAAAAACAGATAGAGAAGACAGGGACTAATGCTGGTTGTTTAGCCTATAAGGATTACTTGAGTTGAACAAATGAGCGTCCAAGATGGGAAAAAATGATAGTCACCAGCTCATGAGTACGATGACTTTCATACTTGGAAGTGAAGCTCTACAGTACCCCAAATCAGGATTGTGGGAAGCTGCCATCCATAAATACCCCAAACAATGCATTTTCTTAGGCAAAAGAACTGAAGTCCTACAGAGCCCCCTAATGATGGTTCAATATAATAAAAAAGAATTCCTCCTCATTAAGAGGAAATTGAACTGACCATAATGCATAAAACCAGAAGTAAATAAAAAACCAGTAACCTAACAAGATTGGAAGCATTAGTCAAAGCACATTCTGCCACAGTCTCTCATAGGAAAAGACTGGGCCCAGCAAGTTGTGCACTTATTTATGAGTGCAAGATTAGCATCAGTCAACAGTTTCAAGGCTTGACAGCATTTATCAACAAAAGTGAAGAGTGAGGAATGGTAATGGGCAGAGGCTTGTAATCAGACTTCCCTAGAAGATAATCAGCAATTATCTGTTAGAGGCTCAGTGATCAGACTTCTCTCCAGGCAACAGCAGACTAGGTACAATTTATGTTCCATGAGAATTCCCATATTCTCTAGATTCTGAAAAGGTGAAAGGAGAACCCACTAAAGCATTCATTATTCACTAAGCTGTTGACAGCCCCTTCCTATCAATAACAAATAATAGAGGGGGAAGATTAGCCATTTTATAAGCCTTGTGAATTGGGCCCCTTCTTCCGGATAGGGAAGTATTCTTTAGCACTGGATACCTGTTCAAATTTCCATCCATCAGACATAGTGGACACCATCTGGGTGAGCTCTTCCTCTTGGCACTGCAAGACTCTGTAAACATGCTTGACAGGTCCCTGGGACACAAAGGGGAACCAAACAATAAGTTAGAAATTAACATTGTGGCTTTGCCAAGTAGTGGTAGCTTGTTTAAAGAGGCTTAGCTTCAAGGAAATTAGTGTGTCACAGGCCCTTGCTGATTCCTGAGAACACACACCACTAGAAATGTTTCAAAAGGACATTTCATGCTTTTCCCAACCATCAAAAAAGACATGTGGCAAGTTTTGCTGAAAATCTGAGAGCCAGAAATAACCCCGGGGAGGTAGGTGTATAGAAGTGTAGGTATGGAGACAGCCAGGATAAAGGTAAAGGGTAAAGGGACCCCTGACCGTTAGGTCCAGTCGTGACTGACTCTGGGGTTGCGGCGCTCATCTCGCTTTATTGGCCGAGGGAGCCGGCGTACAGCTTCTGGGTCATGTGGCCAGCATAACTAAGCCGCTTCTGGCGAACCAGAGCAGCGCACAGAAACACCGTTTACCTTCCCGCTGGAGCGGTACCTATTTATCTACTTGCACTTTGACGTGCTTTCGAACTGCTAGGTTGGCAGGAGCAGGGACCGAGCAACGGGAGCTCACCCCGTCGGGGGGATTTGAACCGCCGACCTTCTGATCGGCAAGTCCTAGGCTCCGTGGTTTAACCCACAGTGCCACCCGCGTCCATTGCATCAAACACTGGTGCATATTGGGATGGGATAAAGGCATCATGGCAACAGACTGCTACAAAGGACTCAAGTGTAAGTACAGTAATATAGTGCCTCTGGGAATGATAGGAAAATGACCCAGACTGCCCTTCTCTTCAGCATTTTTAACCTGGCATGTATCCCACTCAGCATGTAAACCACACCCCTACAAATTTTCAAACAGGTTTTGAATTCACATCTGTTCTCTGCTGCTTTTATGAAGTGATTTGTATGCAGGCAATTAATGTTCATATTGTGTTTTACAGCTGTGCTGACTGGATTGTTTGAGTTGCTGCAAAACAAAAAGCTTTAAACTGTGCTTGTATTGTTCTACCTGACACTTGCCAGTTTGTGAGGAGGTTCTCCCAAAAAGCAGGATACAAATCCATTAGATATAAATAAATGAATAAATAAATAAATATTGCGACAAACAAGGGAGCATTCTTTGCTGTCCCTTCCCCCTCATTTCCCAGCAGTTCATGAAGGATTTGGGTGAGCGAAGAGCTGCTTTGCCTCCCTTTCTGTCAGCTCCTGCAAAGGTCCAGCGGGAGCAGTGAGGTTCTTGTTGGCACCTCTGGCAAAAGCCCAGCACAAGGAAGAGAAGACACCTCTCCTTTCCTCCATCAAGAACTTGGTACAAGAAAGGATGTGTGGCTTCTTTTCCTTCTTGCTGGGCTTTTGCAGACTGAAACAGCACTGAAGCGCTGCTTGGATTTTCTGCAAAAGCCCATCATAGCAGCAAAGAAACCCAGCCCCCTTCTCCAAAGTGTATGTCACAGGGAGAGAGTAGCAGTTGACCACAACCACAAATAAGGGAAGGCTAAGCACAGATTTGCCCTTGATTCCAGTTACAAAAATCCCCCCTTCTATTTTCTTTAATATGCATTACTTGAGAAGTTCTGCTTTCATTGTCCCGTATTCGCTCCTTCACCAGCCGCACTAGAGATGCAATGTTGTAAAACTCAGCTTCTTCCAGCACACCTAGGAATGAGAAGGGGGGTGCAGTTAGGAAGATTGTTAGCCTTAAAAAGGGAAGAATGCTAGAAGCAATATTGTGCTAACCCCAAAGTCTTCTGCGCAGATTACTGAAGCCTATGACACTGCAGAATTATTTTTTTGCATACTGTATATATTTTAACCTAAATAATTAATCTGCAGATCAACAAACGTTATATTACCAGAATCTCAATTTGCAAGAGCAAAAACAAAGGCAAAAATTAAAAAAAAAAGGTGACCACAAACAGCTGCAAACACTTCTATTTCATTAAGAGCAGAAAACTAGAACTTGGGGATTCATGAAGATGTGTTCCCTCCATTTGAAGCTCTTCACAAAAAGGAGCTTGCTTTTGCAGACCACACTTCAATGAAAAACAACAAGTTAATACAAAATGCCACTGATGTTTATTAACAGAATGCCTTGTATGAGATAGTTGCATCAGAATAATGTGCCTCCATGAATAAATCTGGTTTTGTACACCTCCTCCTTAGGTCAATCTAAAATAAACCACAATCTTATGACACAGAAAGATGCTGACCAAGGCCTCGCTCAGTCACAGGAGTCAATGCACTCAAGACCATGGATTTCAATGGGCTTAAGTGCACTAGCTCTGGGCTGAAATGTGGCCAACATCCATTAAGCTTCCCTCTGGTTTTCAAGGATATAGATTGATTTTTACCTTGCCCAAGTCAGACAAAGCACCGCAATCTCCATTTCTTACCTTCTTCTGCCAATTCCTTGTTTATTATGAGTTTTCCATGCCGGAGGTAGTTCAGGATTGGACCAAAATATGTGGGATCCCTATCAATGAGATATGCCCCCGTTTCATCCTGTTAGAGATACACCAGTGTCAGATTCTGATGCTAAAATGGACAATTCAATGGAATGAAGACATTTGGCTGGGGGGGGGGACTAGTCTTACAAAGGTTGAGAATTTGGTCCTCTATAAAGAATTACACTTCTCAGGAAAACCAGTGGGCTCTTTTAAACTAGTTGAATCATCCACAAAAGACAGAAGTTAGATTTAACATGTTGTCATGGTTATGGTGGAGACTATGGGCATCTTCTGCTGAAGTAGTGGAGGTGGATGGGAAAACAGTGCTGGCAGGTTTCTAAACTCTGGCGTCAAAAGCTTTTTATGCCTACCTTTACTGTAAGATGACACCATGATATAATTAAAAAAGGTAGGGTACCACCTACATAAGGCAATTCCACCTAATCACTTAATCATATGCTTATTTACTTGAAATAAACTGTTCTTGCATCTATCAGCGACATTCTCCTAAAAATTAGTGAGATCGGCTCCTGAATTGTCATGATATGACAATGACAAGCAGCAAAAACAAAAATGAGCACAACCCTAACTCTTGCAACTGAATTCTAAAGAAATACTTTTGCCAATCTAAACTGTCAGTCTAATCCAAACTGACTTCTATTATGTGTCAAGCAAACATCAACTCAGATCACTCTTTAGTAAGGATAAAAAAGAAAAGAAAAAAAGATTCTGCTGAACACAAGTGGTGCAGTGCAATCAATTCCTTTGACTACGTGCTCAGATGTTTTGTTTGTTTGTTTAAGATCACCAAGGAAGCTATAAATAAGAAACAGAGCTTACCCATTCTCACTATGATTTAATTATTCTGGGAAATGGCTTTTGTTCTATTCTAAAATAATGTCTTTTACAGAGCGCTCAGAATCTTCCACAGTATTTAAACACTCTCAGCAATTATCTGCTGAAAGAAACCACCCTATTCACAAGTATTTTCACTTTGCACACAAGATTAAAGCTTTTCAGTTTTCTTATTTCCCTAAAACAGAAGCAGAGGCCACACTACTGATGAATAAGAGTACAGCACCTGTGTAATGACTGCATAGTTAATATATTGAAATTACTACTTACAGGGAAGTGTCGGGTAAACACAGAAACCACTAGAGGGGCTATAAACTGTCACTGAAGTGGGCAGGCACCCCACTGCCACATGCAACGGGAGCAATGCCCCTTTCTTTTTTTGCTGAGCAGTTCCCATCAAGGCTTTGGTTAGCTTTGATGCCTGCAAAAACACACCCTGCAAAGTATCCTGGGGACTGTGGCTTGCTAGGGGTGCTGAGAACCGTAGCTCTGTGAGGGGTAACCTCTAGTTCCCAGGATTAGGGTGGGGGGGAATGCTTTAAATGCATTGGGTGAAAGAGGCTTAAATGCGTGGAAACAAGCCTATTATTCCAGTGATCGCAGCGGGAAGGAGACGAGACGGAGGGTATGAGGGCTACCGGGGTGCGGAGAACATGCCGTCGTTCTAGGAAAGCGCCCCAGGAGGGGCCGGGCGGTTAAGGAAGGAAGAGGTCAGCGCTGCCACTCCACATGGACCCACCGGACTCACCTTGTCGGAGCCCAGTTCGGGCCCCTCCTGGCAGCAGAGGCGGCAGAGGAAGGACTTGGGCTCTCGGCAGAGAGTCTGGCGGGTGCTCACGAAGTAGGTGCCGCCCACGTTGAGCCGGACCCACTTGGAGCCCCCGCTGCTGCTGCTGCTCCCGCCGCCCCCCGACCCGGCTCTCTCAGGCGCCGGCGGCTCCGGGCTGCGCGGCGGGCAAGCGGGCGTCGCGGCTGGACGAGGGCTGGGCGGCCCCGGCAGCGGGCTGGGAGTGCGGCCCCGCGGCGGCCCTTCTCCGGCCACCAGCTCCGCCATTCTGGGCTACGGTTTCTTCCCCTGGGCCTACGGCAGGCAGACGGGCAACGGTCGCCCCAGCTCAACGGCCAGGTCGGAGAAACTGGAGCTGCGCTCGGCGGGGCTCGGAAGCCATCACCCCAGTCCCTGCTGACAGGGAGAGCCGGACTTCCGGGAGGAAAGGTCACTTCCGGGTCACCAACCGTTCTCTGGGGGGCCTTACATGCTCCTCGTTTACCATTACATAGTAATGCTGGAGGTAGCCAGCAGAAGCGGAGAATAATAATTATTATTATTTAAATTAATTTTAATTGATTTTAATTTAATTAATTTAAATTTTAATTAAATTTAAATTATATAAAATTATTTAAAGGGAAAAGTCTCCAATAGAACAAGGCATTAGAGGAAACAGGATTCCAGGAAGGAAACAGAAACTTCGTTCCTAGATTACCTATACCATAGATACACAAAAGTATAGAACGGCACTTTGTTTGCAGAGGACACTTCCTAGTTATTTTCGAATCCCCTTTCCCCGCTCTGTCAGCGTCATGAAAGTGACAGCTGATGAGAGGAGAAGATACAGGATTTACCGTAATTGAAACTGTGATTTGGCAGCAGCGGGTGTTTCTCCCACTTCCTTACCCGCCCCCCAAAGCAAATAATCCTCTCTGTGGAGTAAATAATGTGAATGTTAATTTAAGAGGGGGGAGACACTATTCAGTGGTTCCCGTCAAAATGACTTCCCCTATACAGTACATACATTTGCAAGTTGCCCGACTGAAAAAAACCGAGCCTTTTATGACCCTTGGATTGTGAGTGGCAAGGCAATTGGTGCTTAGAATGGTTTACTACAACGTGGCATCGTAAGTCAATTGTTATAGCTATAAGATGTAGACTGAAGTGAGCGTTGCAACCACCCTGCATTATGATCTGCATATTTTAGGTGGGAGCCGAGATGGCTTATAAGGCATTTCTAATAAAGACTTCAAGAGCATAGTCACCTACTTGATTTTATTGGTGAATCTCAAAACTGCTCATTCAGGTTTCCCCTGAAGTACTACAAGTTCACACATACACGCACAGTCATTTTAAGCAGTTATGTTGCAAGAATGCAGCCAACGGGGGGTGCAGATATTTCAAGCCGACTCGCTTCGCTAATAGCGATAGAAGATCTCCACTTTGACATGTTGATAACGCAATGCAACAGAAGGCATACACTTCAGATTACGGCAAAGGTCAGGCCTCCATCGCCCATCAGCTCCAAAGCCCGCGTTCAGTTAAACAGAACCGCGCCTTGCCCTCCATTGCTTTGCACGCTGTGCTTTTGCTTCCCTTAACTGCGCAAAAATGGAGGCGTGTGCTACTAGTCTATACTTTTCCGCTATCTATGGTGCTGAGTGTGCCGCAGACTATTTCCGGGATTGCTGGTCCTGATTGGTCACGGCGATGACGGTCAGGCTCTCCTTCCGGGAGGACGTTTCCGGCGACTTCTGTATCGTGGGGGTGAAGGGTTGCTGAAGGTGAGTGGAATACGGCCGTCCTTTGGGGGACCCTGTTGAATGTTTCCTAATATTGTGGTGGTAACGGGCCTTTTCTGTTCTTTATTCCCCCGCCTTCTGTTGCGGCGCTGGGATTCCTTGGTGTCCTAGCAGAGGTCCTTTTAATGTTCCTTCAAGTTGGTTTGCCTCTGGCTGCGCCTTTAACATGCAAGCAGAAGCCTATATAATTGTAGAAGCTACATCGCTGCCATATTTATAAAGGAGAATCCGCATTAATTTTATTTCTCCTCCCCCCTTATTGAATGAAAAGAATGGCGTGAGTTTGAGTTCAACATCTAACTCTATTTTGCTTACTTGAAAATAAAGTAGTGAATTCATAGGGTTTACTCCCAGGTAAGTGTGTGCTGGTGTGAACTCCTCATTGGATTATTGTTTTGATGAAACTGAACCATTCTTCTGTTTGTCTCTCATCTGACCCTTCGCTAGCCATATAGCTTTGCTGCTCAGTTAGTGTTCTGATTATTTTCTCCCTATTAAGCTTTCTTTCTGCTTTATTATTTTCTAGAAAGTAACAATGGCTGCCCGCAGATTTGCTCTGAAAGCAGTAGACTGGATGGCATTTGCTGAGCGAGTGCCTCCCAACCAGAAGCCCATGTTTAATGCCCTGAAAACACGCAGTGATTCTCTGGCAGCCAAGTGAGTATGTGCAAAGGGCACTGTGGAGCTATGTTTGCTAATTTCACTTTTTCTTGTGTCAAATGCCTTGGTATTTGTGCAAGGTTGGTGCGATCAGGCTATGTGCTAGCAGTAATAAATTAATAGAATGCCTTGTTTGGTTATATCTTTACAAATTACTTTGAACCAGTCACTGGTTTGTTAAGCCATATACCAGGTGTGGGGAACTTCCAGCCTGCAGTCCACATTAGATCTATGATGCTATTTGGGGCAGGCCACACTTACCTGTAATATCCTGTGTGCAGCACTTCTCAAGCACCTGGCACCCAGCTGATTGTCAAGTGTTTGGGAAGCAGTGTGCAAAGCACTTTGTAGACCTTTTGCCCAGCACTTTCTAAGTGCCAAGCACAGGGCTTGTGAAGCTTGCTTAGGCCTGGACGCAGTACTTCTCAATCACTTATCAATCACCTGTTTGTTGGGCATTTGGGAAGTGCAGTGTGTAGGGCTGAGCAAACTCTTTGATAGATGCTAATTCCCTGGTGTCATGATAATCCGGCCCAGCTATCAAAGTTGGCTCCCAGGTGTGGGTGGGGAGATTAATCCCTGGCCCACCAGGCCAAAAGGGTTCTTCACCCCTGCCATATAGTCCACAGCTCTTTGCTCCATTCATTGTTGCTGAGATCAGCCTATTAAAGTGATATACAAATTTCATTTTGTTCTTTTTGGCAACTTTATGGCAGTCCTTTCTGCTGCAGATTATATTCTGTATATTTCTGTGATAAGCAGAATGTTAAAGGAAGATGTGCCGGGGGTGGGGGAATCTCTCCCCCTTGGAGGGCTGCAATATATTAGGCATCATCTCCTGGGGGCTTCATTCCAGTGGTGGGTCGAGTAAGATGCAAAAGTAAGTGGAATATAGGGTGTATTTCTAATCTTTTTACAATAGGCTTCATTCCAGGCATGCAAAAAGCCAGAGGTTTCTATACATATGTCTCACTATCTTTCGTCCAGGTAAGTAAGAGACATACAGTATTGTTGTTCAAGGATGCATTCCACCCAGGCAAAAGGACTCAGAGGCAGAGCTGGACTAATGAGGGGTATATGGCCTGCTGAAGGGCACAGACTGGAGAAAGTCCCAAGGCCTCTGGTCCCCCGTCCCCCACTGTAACTGATATGGTTAAAATTATCTGATTGACATTAGTAAGATTTGAGATGTCACATGCTGTTTCTGTGTCTCGACTGAAGTTTAGTTCTTTGCCTTAAGATTTGACAAAACCCTTTTATCAGCTTCTGGCAAAAGTGTATCAGTCTACTATTTTGGACTTAACTCACTAGTCATTGTTAGTGTGTACGATGAATCTTGCAAGCTTCATTATTGCTGTTGAATAGCTGAGAACATTGGCAGCTATGGTTAGCTATCCTTAAGGAGGGTGACAATAATGGGAGATGGCTACAGAACTAAGAATTGCATGAAAACTTTTTGAAGTTGTACTAAATGTACTTTTCCTTCATCTAAACAGGCTTGCTTCTTTGCCAGAGAACCCCCCAGCTATAGATTGGGCTTTTTACAAGACTGCAATTGCTGATAAGGCCATGGTAGATGAATTTGAGAAAAAGGTGAGGTTGTGTTATGCTACTTCAAATGTTTCAGAACCTAAATAAGGCACTGCATGTCACACAGTCTAGTGTATATTTTTAGGACCCATCTTACCTTTGCGATTGTAAGTTTTTTTAAATTGCTTTTAATACTGTGTTTTAGTGTTGTAACCTGCCCTGGGACCTTAGGGTGAAGGGCAGGTAATTAATAATAATGATAATAATGATAATAATAATAATAGAAATCACCCTGGGTGTAGTAATTATTTCCTTCTGGGTAATTTGACACCAATGTTGCAGCTGCATGGTGCTGTGCTCATAAAAAACAACAACAGCATTTTCTTGTCTTTAGCCAATTAGTACATTTCCCACCAACCTCTGCCTTGTGGATAGGCTAGAAAAGCTAAACTTGAAGCAATAATGCTGATTTTTATTTATTGTTGGATATGAACCGGGCAAGTATGTGTATCAATATAGATGGCTCCAGAGAACTTTGGTATATAAATCCAATAAAATGAATGAATGAATGAATGTCTGGCTTTCTTCATGTGGGACAGCGATAAATGTATGAAAATGCAACCCAGAGAAGTTAGAGGACATTGAAACATGTTAACTCTTTAAGAATGAATCTGGATGGTGTGCATTTGCACTAGCTGTATGAGAACTGTCATTCATTGAAATGACTTGGGTACTGGCAAGCAAACTCTGTAAAATCAGCTAATCTCTGTTAGTAATCGGCTAGGCTTTCAGGTGGCTTGTTCCCAGTGTAGCCCACTACTTTAGACCGGACACTTGGTCTTGACCCGCACTCGGATGGAGAGGATTGAACTGGGAGGCTAGAAAGTGCAAATCATACACTGCCACTGAGTTAAGGACCTCTTACAACTAAAGGGAAACAGACAGGACTTGGAAAAGGTATCTCTGACTGCATATATGTCACTGACAGAATTGGACACAACACATTTAAAATACTTTTCCCTCAAATTTCACAGTTTAAAGCACTCAAGATTCCTGAGCCTGTGGATACCCAGACAGCTAAGATAGATGCCCAAGAAAAAGAGGCTGTAAGTGTGGTTTTTGTGTGCCTTTGTTCAGTTATATTTTGTGTATACCGCTTCGGTAAATTGTGTTAGACATTATTCCCTGCTCACCACTTACTATATTCCGCTTGTGATCGGCAATACTTCTGATTTTCGTCTGCTGGTATTTATTTATATAGTTTTTATATTGCTTAATGCAATAATAATCTCTAAGCAATCCTTGTCTGCAAACTATTGTAGTTGATGCACCAACCAAAGTTGTTAATGGTTACTCTGAGCCAACGAGGTCACTTGGGCTACCACTGCTAGCAGCGGATCTAGAACACTCCCGTGCTATATACCTCCTTCAGAGAGAGGGCAACCACATCCAGATTCTGTATGCAACCCAATTCCCAGACTTGGGAACTGCCTACTCATAGGGTCTCTGTCTTGCTAAGAGTCATTTGCAGTTTATTAGCCTCTGACTGCATCCTGGTAGTGGTCTAGGGCTTGTTCAGATATTACTGAGAGATAAACCTGGATATCATCAAGATACCTTGCCCCAAATCTCCTAATAAGCATCCACCATGGCTTCCTGAAGATAGCACTAGGGACAAAATTGTGATTTGGGGCATCCCACAGATTAACTGGCAGGGTGTCAAGACACAGTCACCAATATTTTTCTCTGGAACTGACCCTGTAAGTAGGAGTGAAATCTCCATAAAGCAATACCCCCCTACTCACAGATGGTCCAGGAGGATACTGTAACCAAAGATATCAGAAGCAGCTGAGAAACTGAGAATTAATAGGGTTGTGCTCCCCCTGTCTCTGCCCTGAAGGAGGTCATCTATTGGAGCACCCAAGACTAAATTCTGTCCCGAAGTCAGGCCTGAACCCAAACTGGAAAGGGGTAAGATAACTGGAATGTAGGGGCATGTCTAATGCAAAGGCTGCAAGCCTCAAGGTGATAGTTTGCATTATTATAGGCAAGAGAAAATGCAGTTTGTGGTGCAGATGGGCGGGGTATAAATAATAAATATTATTATTATTATTATTATAACATCACTAATATGCGAAGTGAATAATTTGCTGTGTTGCAGGACAAGAGTGCTGCTGCTTTCATACAAGCCTCTAAGCAACGTGTTGTTGAGCATGAGAAAGAGGTAAGTTGGTGATTTTCGTGGTGTAAGTAGTCTGCTCCACCACGTTGCGTTCTCCTAATAAAGATCTGTTCTTTTTATTTTAAGTAGTCTTCTTCATAATGTACTAATGATGGGCTATTGTCTTTTCTTTTCAAGCTTCAGAAGGTTAGAAGCATGATTCCTTTTGATCAGATGACAATGGAAGATTTCCAAGAGGCATTTCCAGGAAGTAGGTTGGACAAAGAAAAATACCCATTTTGGCCACACAGGCCTATTGCTGAATTGTAAGAGCTGTCTATCCAAAAGAACTTTGCCGTATCCATCAACTCTAGAATCCCTGGGAGTATGTTAAATAAAGTAATTCTACAGGAATCTTAGTAGTCCTGTTTTGTCTTGTCTCTTGTTATTGATTTGTGCATATTTGCTTGGAAATAAGATCCATAGAGTTCAGTATGGATCCCAAAGAAGGCTGTGTAGGATTGTTGCCTTAAACTTCTTTTTTTGAGGATTGAAAGCCTGAGTGGTTCAGCTAAAATTGCTAATCTTGGCCCCAGATTCTAACTTTAACTTGATTTTTTGGAGGACCCCCATTTGGCCCCCAGTCCTGGGCCTCCCCACCGCGGAGTGGGCAATTGTTTAGGTGCTCTGATCACTGACCACGGATGGCTTTAAAGGTCAACACCAACATTTTTGAATTGTGCTAGGAAGCCAGTGAAGTTCTTCAAGCACCATTGTAGCACATTCTTGTGGCTGGTTCCAGCTTTTATGTTCTGGACCTGCTGCAGTTTCTGAATGTGTTTGAAAGGCTCTGCATTGTCGCCTGCAGTACATTGGCATGAGCGTCCTTCCCCACAAGAGGGTGCAGCTAGCACACAGCTAATACTAAAAAAAGGCACTGCCTAAGCATTCAGGAACAGAACTGGAATTAATACCTTGATCCCTAAAAATGAGCATAACCCCACCCACAACACAAACACCAGGATGTGCTGTATCATTGGCCTTGGACAACTTTTGTTGTGAGTGAATTTCATTTTCACCAGCCTGCATCCAGTACTTTGCATCATGGTGCTTTCCAAACTTTGTACATTAAAAGAACACAAGGAGGTTCCACCCCACCCCTCCTTGAGCCAGGCACAAAGTGAGCTATTGAAAAAAAATACACACACACACACACACACACAGTACTCTCGTTAAACTTTCTGAATGGTTCTTCAAAATGTTTATCCAGGGTGCTTTTTTAAAAAATTAACGTAGCAAAGACTAATATATCTGAGCCTGTCTTTGAGTGTATTTTTGACCGTAGTGCTAAAACACGGAAGTATCAAGAGTTTTCCAGGAGTGGCATTCTGGAAACACTGTTCACCTGGCAAGCCACCACTGCAGTAGCTTTGAGAGATTCGTGGCCTTTGCCAATAAGAACTGTTTGAAAACTTTTTGCTATAAAAGTATAAATATTTAAATTGGCCTATAAGCGAAATTACCCCTATAAAAGTCTTGTAAGCCTTAACAATGCCATAGAGCGATATTGTGGCTTTGATCAGTGCAACTGCAATCAGACCAGGACTATGCAGCTCATGAGTCATGGAGCCAAATGCTAGTCAGATCGATTCACATGATAATCCTGCTTTTGCTGCCTACGAGAAACAGGTTGGGTGGCCATGCTTCTGGTCATCAAGAGCACTTAGCAGGGCATAGATGGTGGGTGGGGTTCAGCTTGATGGATTACAAATTGTGGAGAATAGGATTTGCCTGATGAAAGACAGGAAATATAAGCCATCTTCTCAGTGGAAGTTCTGAAATGACTTGGCAACCCCCGCCCCCCTTCCAGTTCTGTGTTTATGCACTAGTGGTAGCAATGCCAGGTTTTTCCCCAGCATGGAAAGGTGATGATAAGGAGGATAGCAACTGTTGAATTACTGATGCCCATGAATCTATGAAAGGCATAGAAACTTTATCAGTGATAAAAGAAGATACTAACCTAAAACACCAGAGATTTGGTTTTATAACCAGTATGCTGATGACACCCAACTCTATTTGTTGATGGATGGCCACCCTGACTCGGCCCCAGACACACTGATCAGATGTTTGGACGCTGTGGCTGGATGGTTACGTGGGAGCCGGTTGAAATTAAATCCTTCGAAGACAGAGGTCCTCTGGCTGGGACGGGACGATATGGGATTGGGGGGGCAACTCCCATCTCTTGCGGGGGTGTAATTAGTGCCAGCACTGTCCGTTAAGAGTCTGGGTGTAATCTTCGACACCTCCCTTTCCATGGAGGCGCAGATTGCAGCTACAACAAAGACGGCATTTTTTCTTCTCCGCCAAGCTAAGCAGTTGGCTCCTTACCTCTCTCACCCTGACCTAGCCACTGTGATCTATGCAACGGTCACCTCCAGACTGGATTATTGTAACTCGCTCTACGTGGGGCTGCCCTTGAGACTGACCCAGAAACTCCAGCGGGTGCAGAATGCCGCGGCGAGACTCCTTACGGGGTCCTTGCTGCGAGATCACATTCATCCGGTGCTATACCAGCTGCACTGGCTCCTGGTGGGGTACAGGATCAGGTTTAAGGTGCTGGTTTTAACCTTTAAAGCCCTATACGGCCTAGGACCCTCGTACCTATGGGACCGCCTCTCCTGGTATGCCCCACAGAGGAACTTACGGTCTTCAAATAAAAACATCTTGAAGGTCCCAGGCCACAGAGAGGTTAGGCTGGCCTCAACTAGAGCCAGGGCTTTTTCGGCTGTGGCTCCGATCTGGTGGAACACTCTGTCACAAGAGACCAGGGCCCTGCGGGACTTGACATCTTTCCGCAGGGCCTGCAAGACGGAGCTGTTTGCCAGGCCTTTGGTCGGAGTTCAGTCTGACTCCCTCTCCCCTTTCATAAGAACTTGCATGAAAGTGGCCTCCCAATTTTTCTCACAGGCCCATACAAGTTCAGCACAAACAGTTGGGCCTGGTGAGCATTTAAGGTCCCCAACCCTAATCTGGGGGTTGCCATCCGACTGGATTTTATTCTGGTCCTGCTCTGATTTGAGGATGTATTTTAATTGATTGTCTGATTTTATGCTAATGTATTATACATTTGATGTTAGCTGCTCTGAGCCCGGCTTTGGCTGGGGAGGGCGGGATATAAATAAAATTTATTATTATTATAATTGAATACTCCATTTTTAATTTTTGTTGTTAATATCACATATAAATGACATTCTTTTCAGTCATGGTCTGGCCTGAGGCACAAAGATATCATTTTCAGAACAAATTCTAAATATAGGGGGAATGGAAGCATTGCCTTGTAATGACTGACATCATGTTTAAAAATATTAAACAAGCTGAATGCCACAAATAAGGCACAGAGGAAAAGATTCAACACCATATTCCTTACCATACTCAGTGGAACATACACCACCAAGCAATGTGGAAAAATCCCAGACAGCACCATCACATACATGGAAGTAATCTACCTGTAAGCTACTGTCTGTGGACAAACGGCGGCTCCCTTGGCCAGTAAAGCAAGATGAGTGCCTCAACTCCAGAGACATATGCAACTGGACTTAACTGTCAGGGGTCCTTTACATTTTACCTTAATCTACCTGGAAGTAATTACCACCGAGTACATTTGAGCTTAGTCCCAGGTAAGTGTACGGAGGATTGCACCCTAATCTGCATATTCTAATATAATAACCACAAATGGCCTGAGCTTGGAAGATATATGAATTACAGTAGCTCTAAAGCTAAAACCAGGAAAAATAACCTAAGGCTATAATGGCCAGAAAATACATTACATTAACTTGAAGCAAATTCAAGGGAACTTGCTTCACAAGTCATATTCATGGATGTAAATTGATACTCCAAAATGCTTTAGGCCAGTGGTCAGCAAACTTGTTCAGCAAGGGGCCGGTCCACTGTCCCTCAGACCTTGTGGGGGGCCAGACTATATTTTTTGGGGGGGGAATGAACGAATTCCTATGCCCCACAAATAACTCAGTGGTGCATTTTAAATAAAAGGACACATTCTACTCATGTAAAAACACGCTGATTCCCGGACCATCCATGGGCCAGATTTAGAAGGTGATTGGGCTGGATCCGGCCCCTGGGCCTTAGTTTGCCTACTCATGCTTTAAGCAATGGCAACAATGTAGTAGTAAGCAGCAGCAGTGAAAGGGCACTCCTAACACATTCTGCTTTGCACCATCATTTTATCTACCTACGACTTAATGCACAAGTTGCGCAAGTGAGCAACTTGTGCTCAGGCAGTGTCCCACTCTGCCCCAGATGGAAGAGTGGGGGTGGAGCAGGGAAATAAATGGAAGGGGAAATGAATGTTGTGCCTGTGTGTTTATTGGGGTGGGGGGTTTTTTTGGGGTGGGGGTGGGGGTTAATAAAAATGATTTTGGGAAAAAAACTAAAGGGAAAGAATGTGGGTATGCGTGTGCATGGACATCTGTATGAGTGAGGGTGAAGAGAGGATGGATCAATAAAGGGGAGAAAGAAAGGTGGGCCCGCCCACCCAGTTTCTGCCTTGGCCGCGCCCACCGCCACGTGCTGCCCTCCCTCCGCTGTGTTTGGCCTGGAGAGAAGTTTTTGTCCCTCCCTGGCTTAACACGTTCACGACCCGCATAATAGCGGGCTTCCAAATATGTGGGTGAACAAGCGTGCTGATCCGGACCAGGGAGACGTCCGTTTGCTGTTGCCGGGATAAAAATCGCACACGTGCATTCATTCAGCCGAGCCCAGGCTGCCTGGTCGTGTGCATGCGTGCTCCTGATGCTGCTGCGCGTCTGAATTCTGGGAGGCAAGGGGAGATGCGGGCAGGAAGTAACGGAGACGCGGAAAAGCTTTGCAGCGTAAAGGCGCGCACTGAGCACCCCAGGGGAGTGTCGAGTGGGCACGATCCAAGAGGGCAGCTCAGTCAGAGCATCATGCAAACATGCCCACTCATTTCGGTTGGTTTTCTTGCTTGCTTGCCAGGCTCTCGTCACCCTGCCCCTATTTTATATTATTTTGGAAGCTGATGTTCCGATGTATGCCTTTCTTCTATGGGATGTTTGTCGCTGCTGCTTTTTAAAAAGCGCCTTCGAGAGTTTAAGCACTAGGTAGAAATAAACCGCGGACTTTGTCCGCAGTTTTCAGCAGGACCATTTATACATAATGCCCGAATCAGGAAATGAACAGGTAAGGAAGATTTCTTGCAGAGCATCTTCATGGATGACCACGTGGCCTAATGGATAAGGCGTCTGACTTCGGATCAGAAGATTGAGGGTTCGAGTCCCTTCGTGGTTGGCGTTTGTTATCTGTGAAGAAAGTTGCTGATATTTTTTTCTTTCTTTCTCAGCGGGGAGTATAGAAGGTAAGTGCTGACCGTGTCTGGGTGTTTGTGCGTGTATTACATACAGAGAATATCAAGAGAAGCCAGGTGATTTCTGTAGTTCTTAAACTGCATTAATATAAATAAGTCATGCTTTTAAACCTCTAAAGCCTTATAAGGACTGAGGCTCTGCTTGCAAACCTTATTTTTAAGAGTTTGCTTTTGGTTAGACTTTTGTGCCTGTTTTGGTTTTTGGGATTTCTTTACGTTGGGTTTGTCAGGTGTCATATCATGCTCATCCTCAAATGTTTTTGCAACCAGAGACGTGCAATATTCATATTTTAATAAATGCTAGAATGACTGAATATATAAAGGAAATAATTGGACAAGCCTTCTGGAAAGCAGGATGTTGCCAATTAGGTGCTTCGATCATCATTTCATAGCTGGGCTTTTAGGGTGGACCTTTTGAGAGGTAAGCTACAGTTCCATTATACAGTACTTTGTGTGTAAGGAATGTGCTTTAAAATGTATGATGCATATACCTCCTCTCAGATCTCTTATATGCCACCTTGAACTTTCTGGAAGAAAAGATGGGATAAATGCATAACATTTCCTTTAATTATTATGTAACAGCTAACCACGTGGTCACATTTCACTCCTCCATTTCAGAATAATGTATGCTATAAACAATACTGAGAAAATCAGCCGAGCATAGAAAAACAGGCTCTCAGTAATGGCCATGATCCTGTTCCATTCTGCATTGGTAGCCATTTGGCTCTTATCGGGAAATAGCTGTTCCCTCATCTGTTTCACCTCTGAATAGATACTTCTGAGAAAGATGTAAGCCTCTGCTTCTGCATCTTCTTTGCCTGCCAGGGCGTGATCACAGGGCTCTTTCTGCTCATCTGAAATATAAAGAAGCACACGTAGCAAATCCTTAGCTAAGTTGGAGCTCTATCACTGGAAGTCCTGGGCCAGAGGCGATGATGACATTATGGCTCAGCAACAGATGGCAACTTATGCCTTCATAAGACTTTCTATGATATTTGAGGACCAAACACTGCACAGGTGACATCCAGTGTCATATAGAATCAGCTGTGCAATTTTTTACTGTGCACCAAACTTACTAAGTTTTGGGAGAAAGTGCTGGACTGTAAATAGTGTCTTGTTTATAAACGGAAAAAAATTAAGATTTTCAAAGGTGAATATGCTCTTAAACTATATACCCGTTGTATCAAAATTGACAACCAGACAGCGAAAATGGATTCTACAGTAAAATCATGTGTTTCAAAGACATATTGCCCATATTACATCTCCAACAAAGAGCTACATTAGATAGTCCTTTCTTATACAAATGTAAGGGAGCTCAATAGATTCCAAATAGTATTTTCTGTTGTATAAGTCTTGGTTTAAGTTCCACTGATACGTCTAATACTGAAGCCCGACATTTTCCTGCTGTCTAGGTAATAGTGAACATTCCAATTCTTTATTCCAATCGTTTCTTAAACTTCATATCAGACATATGTTGTTGTTGTTGTTAATAAACTGTGGAATATTTTCTGCTCTGGGAACCTCTGGCTCTTCCCCACTACTCAAACCTGGTTTGTGTATCACTTGTAATAATGAGGGTTGCCCTGGCCTTCCATTAGTCATTTTTAGAAGTTCTAAAATGAGTTTTTCAAAGGTTTTCTTCACACCATAAACTCCTTCTCTCTCTGAGCCCATTGAGCTTGGGCTGGGCTGGGACAAAGAGCACACTGCACTGAACCTGCATAGAATATAATTCTAATGGGTTCCCTGTCCCTTGCAAAGTACCCCCAGGAGAGGGCAGTTTGTATCAGAAAGGGCCCCAAAGCTCCCCATATTAATTGTAGTCTTTTAAATGTGTCTGTGGGGGTTATTGTTTTGTTTTAATTATTTACTTGTATTTTTATCCTGTATTTTATTCTGTGAACTGCCCTGTGATCTAGTGATGAAGTGCAGTATATAAATTTAATAAATAATAATAATAATTTAAAAAGTAATAACATTTTATTTCAGACAGTGGAGCTGGAGGGCAGCACACGCTGGTCATTTGTCCAGTGTGTGTTTTGCAATAATCTGCTATAAGGTGCCTTGAGGATCATTCAACCAAATCTTACATAAACCTAGCATCAGCATCATCAGCATCACCTGTATTACCCTTCACCTGCAGGTCCCAGCACAGGTTACAACAGTTTAAAAATCCAAATTAAAAACAGCCAAAACAGATTACAAGCACAGGGATAGGGCAGGCCCTGAAAACACACATCCCAGGTGTCAAAGGCATGAGTATTTATTTAGAGGTGCACCTAAATAAATAAATCACAGATTTATAAATGCTAGGCTGACACCCGAGCCTGAGCTCAGGTAGCTTTAGACAAATAGCACATCCTGTCAGGAAATACTCCAGGTACTTTCACATGCAAACGATACTGGGGTATAGTGGGCTCACATTCAAAATCCATAGTAAACAATTTTCCATAATGTGTCTTCCCTTTGCCCTCCTCCTTTTGCATTTACTTTTTGAAAAATGAATTTGGGCTGTCTGTCGCAGGGGTCTTCAGTCTTCACAGTGGTCTTTGTAAACCTTTGAGACCTAACACAGGAGCCCCTTCTGCATATTTTGGCATATATGATTTGCACCTTCCCTCCCTCTCTCTGTGCTGGCTGCTGTTCACTATATTCTCTTTCAACTTGTACAATTTTAAATGTGTGTGTGTGTGTAAAATGTTGCCAGCCTTTTGTGCTCACAAATGCAAAGGAAACAGATCATTCATAGGTTGATCTGATCTTTGATGCCATGAAACACTGTCCTGCTTTGCAGCAATTTATGGGTTTGGGGCTGTTCAATCAAAGTATTAATTTCTTATGAATACTAACCAGGATAAGGAACGTATTTTTCAGATGTTTTCTTCTTTCTCCTGGAGGAAATGAGTCTCTCGCATTTGAGGAACCAACGGGGAGGTTTCATCTCCTTCAGAGACCTTGTCACATAATTCTCAAGGAGGCTGACAACCATCAGCAGGAAAACTCCCATGAAAAATTTCGCTGCAAAATGAAAGGATGTTAGATGGATCTTTCCTAGCGCTATCAAAAAATTACTTTTCCATTATAAGCTGTAAGTAGAAGGACTCTTGACTTTTCCCAACAGTGTTAGGAGCATTTCACTTTTTCTATTTGTACCTCCTAAGTTCTGTTCACCTCACACTGGGCATGATGTACGGTAGCTGCTGGGGAATAGATGGGGAAATACAGGGCAACTGTGATTGGACAATGGCATCATGTGCGTGCCCTGAAAACAGTGAATGAACACAGCTTGGCTATTCCACACTAAACGCCTAGTATGGAAGTGCCCAAAAATAGATGGTGGCTTAGCACTAGCATTCTATAACCTTGCATTCCCAGCCGAGACATGCCAGTAACTAGATCCACTCCAATAAGACCTTTGTGTCTCAGTCTCAAAGTGATTTCACCTGGTTATTTGAAATTTCTACAAGGCGTAAGGGTAGGGGGAACCCCAGTAGCAGATTTGGGGCAGGGGTAGGAGAGGGAGGACAAGTTCCATTGTGCTCACGGAAGCTGCTCCATGCACAGAGTGATTTAGCTGGGTACAACCCAAAGAAGCATTAAGAAGCAGGAAGTTGATTTATGTTGGAACCTTCTTATTAGGACGCTTTTAAATCAAGAATACACTTAGGTAGGGCTGCCATACATTCAGAATTTTCTGGGAATAGACAGGATTTGTTCGTCAAAAATGGCATCTGGGCGGAATTTTTGCAAGCCAGTTAAAATGTCTGGGATAACCCAAGTGTATGGCAACCCGTGTCAGAAGTGTTGATTTTTTGGTGAATTTCTGAAAAAACAGCTAAAAAAAAAAAAAGCTTTAAAACCGGATTTTCACTTCTTGAAATATGACAACCCTAACTTAGGCAAAGAAAAGCCGCTGTTTAATTTACACGATCAGTTCACTTGGGATGTATATATACTATATATTTAAAGCACATACTTTCTTTCAAAGAATTCTGGGCATTGTAGTTTGCTAAAGGCTGCTGGGAATGGTAACTCGGTGAGGGCTAACTTACATTGCCTAAAATTCTTAGAAGGAAAGCATATGTTTCAATGTGGTTTAAAGGCATGGTGTATACCAGAGGCGTCAGCTTGCGAGGGCAATTGGAGAGCCAGTGTTACACACATGGGATGTTGGGAGGAGCCGGGGTAGAGTCAAATATGGCGGTCCAACAGCTTCAATGGCCGATAGCTCCTCCTCTGCCTTCTACTGGTGCCACCACCGATGGGAGGCTGCTTTGACCCTCCTTCCCCTCCAAAGCATCAGCAGGAGGAGAAGGAGCCGGCAACTGGCGCCATGCTGCATTTTGCTCCGCGCTTCGCCTCCACCCTTTTCAGACATGGGTGGGAGGTTTACCTCCACCACAAAAATATTCAGGGGGCCCAAAAGAGCTCGGCTCCCAGGATCTGGTGCCCCTGGTGTGTACACAGCCACAGTACTGATTGCAAAAAAATCAGCCCATGTCTTCTAGCTAGATTTGCCTTGTGCAAAGTTTTGCCAGAAGGATATCCGAGGTTGTAATCCTATACCTATTTATCTGGGAGTAAGCCCACTGAACTTAGTAGTTGCTTCTGAGTAGACATGCATAGGATTGCGCTGTGAAGGTTCCTCAGGACAAGAGAGTATTCTATAATATAGCTCATATATAATATACTTTGTTTCCTGGCAGCGCGAGTTGATTATACGTCCACTTGAAATTACTGTTGCTTACCTATTATAGGGGGGTCATCTGAGGATGCTGGCAGAATACTATTTAGAATCAGCGACAAAAAAGAGACTTCTAGGATCAATGTGATCTTGACGCTGATCTTTTCTGAATCACTGGCAGAAGTGAAGGAAACAGCCATATCCAGGAAGAAGAGAACAGCGGTTGGGATGATCAGATTCAGCACATATAGAATAGGACGCCTCTGCATAAAAATCTGTTGAGAGATTCAAAACACATCAAACTGCTTGAAGACAACAACAAACACAAGTGTGCAAGAAGGAGTCATCCCCTAATTTTCAAAACTTGACAGCTAGGGGTTGTTTATTCCCCCCCCCTCCCATTGAACCGAAACAGGTGTTCCAGTGGGTCACTGAGGCTAGGGGCTCTTCCAACTTTCTCCTTCAGACAATCCTTCTGCATTGACTTTTCTGTCAAGGATCTATCATGCATTGCAGAAGATGCTGAGTCATGTTTCAGGTTGCGTGCTCAGCCACCTCCCCACTTCCTGCACAAAGAACACCTCTGCATAACAACTCCATCTTCTTATTAAGGAAGCCCAGATTATAAACATCCAAGAAATCCCATGCTTTCTTAGAATAAAGGCCATTCCCTTCTCCAGACTGTGGTCCAGGAATCTGATAGGCATTTTACTCATACCCTCCAACATTACTCAGATGAAAATAGGGTCATTTCTCATTCCCCCCAATTTACCCTCTGTTGTATAGTGGGTAGACATGGCAGACGACACAGCGATTTCTCCAAAACAGCTCTTTATTTTGTAAGCTGGAACAGAACTGCACAGCAAACAGCTCAGCCGGCCTGCTTTTATAGGCAGCCGGCTGTCAACATTGTAGCAAGAACAACCCAGGGTTTCCCGCCTAAAATAACTGACGTGGACCTGAGTGAAAACTATCTACAGTATCCCCCTGCTGGCCCAGGGTGAGAACTTCAGTACATAACACCCTCCTCGACACCCCATTTTGTGGTGTCCCCCCGCAGAGCATTTCCTGTCAGAAGGAGGGCAAGTGCCACCACTACACAAAAGGGACACAGCACACAGATCCCCCCCCACCCTGCAGAGAATATGCTGTAATCCCAATTTTATTTTATTTTATTCTTTGGTAGATTTAGCAAAAGAAAAACAGCAATAAATAAATTTTAGAAAGGGGCATGGACACAAAGCATAAAAAAAATAATAATCAAGATTCCTTGTGTTCTGCTCTGCCTATCTGCCCACCCAGGGCAGCCCTGTCCTCTGCCTGCCCCTCACAGCTGATATGTCATATGGGGCTGAAGAAGAAGAAGAGTTTGGATTTGATATGCCGCTTTATCACTACCTGAAGGAGTCTCAAAGCAGCTAACAATCTCCTTTCCCTTCCTCCCCCACAACAAACACTCTGTAAGGTGAGTGGGGCTGAGAGACTTCAAAGAAGTGTGACTAGCCCAAGGTCACCCAGCAGCTGCATATGGAGGAGCGGGGAAGCGAACCCAGTTCACCAGATTACGAGTCTACCTTTCGTAACCACTACACCACACTGAGCCTCTTCTCACCTGCTCTCCAGGAGCTACTATGAGCTGCCCAAAGGAGGAGGCCAGCAGCAGTGGCTATAGAGAGGCAATGGGAGGCTCCCTCACAGCAACCACTGCCACCATAATTGTTACTTGGAACAAGCGCCGGCTCATTCTCCCCTCTCCCCCCAAGCTCGGTGGTGGCAGTGCTGGCAGGGGAATAGAGACATTCCGGGATCACATCAGAAGCTGGGATGGCTTTCGTAATTCTGGGACCGCCTTTGGAAAATTGGAGGGTATTATTTTACTTCGCAACCTGTCTCTTCCATAGGATCTAAAATGAAATGGGTAATACATAATTAGGGATAGTGAGTCCCCGAGGCGATCAGTATTCTGTTTCTGGGCTCTTATGCCACACGTTGTGACCACCAGTGACTTAACGGTATTTCTTGAAGAAGAATCCTCCGTAGCGACAACAAAATTTCATTGAAACAATGCAATCTGCAGAATGTTTCCTGTTAAACAATGGAAGCCAAAGCCCTGATGAGCAACTCATCAGTCTTATATACCTGGTAAGTCACCGTACTATAGTTCATCTCAAGACCAGTCATGGTATCACGGGAAACAATGATGTTGTTGTACTTCCACTCCCCGTTGGTTAAGTATAGGTTGCGATCTTTGGCATCCAATTTAGTGGAAAACGTTTTGTCCGACATTTTCACTTCCTTATCTGGAGCGAGAAAAAAACAAAGGGACAGCAGCTTAAGATGGGGTTCTGTTTTCCTTGTAGCCTCTACATAACCTCCCTGCTCCACCATCCAAACAAAGGAGACCTAAGCTCTTTAAATGCTTTGCACGATATAGTAATAATTCTGCAATGCTATCTCATATTCGCCAACTCTTCATATTTATCAGGGACAGTTCCTATTTTCTGGTACTATATGTGGTAAATTACATTTCCCTCCTTTTTTGACAGGAAATGTTGCAGGTGCCTAAGAAACCCCAATGACTTATATGCTTTCCTCGGTTGCTAGCAACAGTGTGTGTGTTGTACAGTGGTACCTCGGGTTAAGAACTTAATTCATTCTGGAGGTCCGTTCTTAATCTGAAACTGTTCTTAACCTGAGGTACCACTTTAGCTAATGGGGCCTCCCGCTGCTGCCACGCTGCTGCTGCACGATTTCTGTTCTCATCCTGAAGCAAAGTTCTTAACCCAAGGTACTATTTCTGGGTTAGGAGAGTCTGTAACCTGAAGCATCTGTAACCTGAAGCGTCTGTAACCTGAGGTACCACTGTATAATAGAACTGCAATGAGGACAGGAAAAGCCATGCTGGTTGCTTAGTGCTGTTTCCTCACATCCTGCTTACAGGCTTCCCTTCAGCATCTGATTGGATGCTGTGGGAAATGGGATTCTGGGCCAGTTAGGCTTTTGGTCAGACCCATCAGGACTCTTCTTGTGCCCTTACGGGCTAAAACGTCCTCCTACCATGGCCACTTCCAGACTTCTGCCATTTTGTGGGTGGGATCAATTTTCATACCAGCAAATTCTGTTTGTGCAATTAAAGCAGATTAGGGGCTACTGTGCAACAAAATCCCTCCCCTCAACCATGGTGTGGTGTCTTACTTTCCCCTCCCCCTTTTCTTTTGCGCCTGTCATCAAAACAGGTGGAGTCAAGGGGGAGCAACATTTGTTTGGGAGGCTGTGCTGGTGGGGGTGGGGGCGCTCCCCAATATTTTGTTCAAGTTGGCTCCAGTGTCAAGCAGCAATTGTACTCGAGAGAATAATGTGCTGTTTACGGCTTACCTGAATGCATGGGGGAGAGCACAGTTATGTTGCAAGCCTGCTTATCAAAAGGAAAGGTGAAGATGTGCAGACTGCAAGATGATGTCAGGTGAAAAGCTTGGTGTTGCATCATGTCTCCACTGGAAGAAACGCGAAGGAATGGGCTGGTTCTGGACTTCTCTTCATTGGCCCTGAAACATTGCCATTAAGGACCAAGAGATTAAGCAACAGGCTTGGAATCGCTTGTTTTAGTTCAGGTAACCCTTTTGCAGCTTTCCCTGCCCCTCGCCATCCCAATGTCCTTTTCTCTCTCTCTATGCTTTTTTGATTATTTGGTATTGGGTTGGTTATATGTGATAGTGTTTTTAATACTATTTGCACGTGCAAAAGTTTCTGGGCTGCTTTATTTCTAATCAGTGCATGTCCTGTGGCTTCCCGCTGGAATCCTGCGACTTTTTGCACCATTAGATGTTCCTTTTTTGTTTTGTCTTGGTTTCGTTACGCTATAGCAAAAGAGTGCCCCTCCAGACGGCAATAGTGCAATAACATTGGGGGGAAATCACAGAACAACCAATAACGCTGAGAGATGTGTGGACCACCGCTGAGGCACTATTCTTATGTTAATAACACGTTACAGAATGCACCTGTAAAAAACACCAGTCTGGAGGAGCCCTCAATCCTAAAGACTGAAATATTTAAAGCATATTACAAGTAGGCTGCACAGTAATTTATAAGATGCTCGTAACATAAACAGTATTAACAAGGAACTGAAAATGTGAAGTTAAGGCAGGCAGTTCTGGAATATATATATATATATATATATATATATATATATATATATATATGGCATATTCCCCCCATATCACCCTATCGGCTAGTCTTTGTAGTAACCTCCAGTTAAATACTTCTATAGTAAACTTAGGGCATGTAACTCTTGCCTACAACATAAGAGTCCCAGGGTGGAGTCCTGGCCCCCTGTCGCCCGCCACATCTTCCCCCTGTCAGCAGCCCCCCTAACAGTCCTGCACTGAGGCTGAAATCTGAAGAGAGGTTCTTTTTGTGTTGAAAATACACTGCACAAGAGGAACGGGTTAAGTTCCCTCCCTTCCAATCGCAGCCTGACTGTCTCTCCCTCTCCCTCCTGCCATTTCCTTATGGATTAGTCCAAGGGCAACAGTTTTAACACTGCTACTACCTCAAGAATTGAAAAGGGAGACAGCAAGCTCAAGTCACCCATTAAGGTGGCTCAGTGCAGGGAGCAGTGCTTGTACAGTGGTACCTCGGGTTACATACGCTTCAGGTTACATATGCTTCAGGTTACAGACTCCGCTAACGCAGAAATAGTGCTTCAGGTTAAGAACTTTGCTTCAGGATAAGAACAGAAATCGTGCTCCGGCGGCGCAGCGGCAACAAGAGGCCCCATTAGCTAAAGTGGTGCTTCAGGTTAAGAACGGTTTCAGGTTAAGAATGGACCTCCGGAACGAATTAAGTACTTAACCCGAGGTACCACTGTACTGTGCAGAATGACAGCTGAGACTCATTTGCGATGTACTCCCTTTCTCTTCATCAACAAAAGCATAAGCAGGTCAGCGGTGGGTGGGTGGGTGGGAGAAGCACAGAGAGCAAGAGAATACAATGCATGCCGCCACACAAATTAATGCCACAGAGCTACAGATCCGACCCAAACAGCTGGTATTAATTTTAGTGGGATAAGCAACACAGAATCTTACATTCTCCACAGCTCTTCAAAGTATCTGAGCTTTTCAAGATCTGGAAGCAGCTGGCCAGGCAGAATTAAGTACGTTTACACCCCATTGACGATTTCAGCAGGAGAATTAAAATCATCTTACCTCTGTCCAGCTGAAATCAATTGTGTTTACCTTTGTCTAAACCAAACTCATGTGAAGTATCAAGACAGGCAAACGCTCCAGGGATCAAAATTAACTGAAGACCACAAATGCCCCAGATAGTTGGGAGAGGGAAGACATCACCATTACTAGTGTGTTGCTATAGTTTTCCTGTGGGGGTTGTTTTGCTTTTATGGTATAATGCAGTGGTTTACAACCAATGTGCTGTGGCACCCTGGGGTGCCTTGAATGATGGTCAGGGAATATACAGGGCAACACTGGCCTCTGCCCCTCTTTCCTTCCCTCCCTCCTCTGATGCCCTCTCGTGCCTCTGCTTCCCAAAGGCTTACACGGCTGTTTATTGCAGCAGCCCTGGCTACAAGCTCCCCAGGCAAATGGTGCCTCTGGGAGGCACCTCTCTTTGGGGTGGGGGGGCAGCTCAGAGACCAGCTGCCCGGAGGACTCCCAAGGAGAGGGGAGAAGAGGCTGAAGGAACACTCCACAAGGGAGGGTGTTTGAAAAGGGGTGAGGGGCTGCCAGCTCTACAGGCAAAGTGTGACGTAACAGGGCTCCTGAGCCCCACAGGGGTCCCACAGAAAGAACGTAGTTGGTCAAGGGAGCTGCGGATTCAAAAAGGTTGAAAATCTCTGATATAATGTATTTATTTGAATGTTTTAAAATGTGTTGCAAGTCACTTAGAGACCTTTGGGTAACTAGTAACTAACAAGTCTAATTAACTTATCACCATTGCTAACACCAATATAGCCATTTGTTTACTCTCTAGCATGAATTTTAAATTTTCTAACTTCATCTAACTATTTGTGGGTGTTTCCCAAAGCTTAAACCATCATTTCATCTGCAAACAACACTTATTTAGTATTCAGAAGGTTGGAGCTGCTAAAGCTTTTTTGGGAGGGAAGGGGAGAAATCAACATAAGCATTGCTTTAAATAAGTTGCCAATGAAATAAATGATCCTTACTGTTCTTCTATAGAGATTTCAGGGATCCAGAATTTATCTGCTGGGAGAGTGAGATGGGTAATGCCACAGAAGTCAGAGGAATTCCATGACACAAAGTCATTTCTCCATTTCTACATTACAGAGTTGAGTGAGCAAAAAGATTAGTGTACAACATCTTTGTTTGCTTATTTAGGAGAATTGATAAAATCTCTGAGCAGTGGACATAAAGCAATGACTATTAATAACAGCCAGAGAAGATCAGCATTAAAAAACCCAACAATCAAAATATATGTGCAAATACGCTTGTAGAAATAAAAATGTTTTAGTAGGCAGCTAAATCAGTATAATGAAGGTGCTTGCTGTCACATTGAAATACTGACTTCTCACAAATGTGGAACAAGCATAATATAGCATTTGTAACTGTGCAAGTTCTGCAGATCAAAGTGGTCAAATAGGTATGTATGGGTCAAGGTGCTCTCTCAAGTAAATAGTTTCCAAATTCTTAATGGCTTTATATACTAATAGTAAAATGTTGAATTTGGCCCACTCAGCAATCCGGCGGCTACTGCAGATCTTGAAGCAGAAGTATAATGTGGTCCAGGATTTCACTCCTGTTAGCAATCGTGCTGCACCGTTCTGCACTAACTGCAGTTTCCAGACCAACCATCAGGGGAGCCCCACAAAGAGTGCATTGCAGTCATTCAGTTGTGAAGTTATGGGTCTGCTATGGGTCAAGCTATCTCGGCCCAGGAATGGCCATAGCTGCTGTACCAGCTGAAGTTGGCAAAAGGTTATCCTAGACACAATATTCATCTGGGCCTTCAGCAACAAAATTGGATCCAGGAGCACCCTAAGATTGCTCCTCCAAAAGGAGTGAGACCCTTTCTAGGTCAGGCAACTGGTCCATTTCTTGGAAATGAAAAGCATTCAGCCCCATTCCTTTTCCTTACCAAGATTCAAGCTCAGCTGGACAAACCATGGGCTAGTACAATATGATAAAAAAGGAGAGCCTTACCACAAACAGCCAGAAGTAAGTTGTAATCACTTGCAACTTCTCTACCTGTAAAGAAACAAAAACAGAAGGGGCACAACCCATCCACAGTGATGCACCTTCCGAAATTGACGGGCTTAACTCTTTAACTTGAAATCAGTGGAACATAAAAATGCTTCACTTTGTCTGGATCACCCCCAAATTATAAAATTCCCTCCTCCTTGCTTGTTTGAAGTATGAATCTTGCCGGAGATTTTGCCGTCTTACCACTGCCAGGATAGAGACAAGAGTAAAATCCAACTTGACAGTCAAAGGTTCTCTCCAGTCCTTCTTGGGTCTGGTATACAGGAGGAGCTTGTTGTCATTAGAAATATTCAGATATTCAACCACACTGTGATGTGAACAGTTCCATGTGAAGGCAATTCCTACTGCAAATGGAATGAAAAGTTTTTTTATTCCTAACCACCACTCAAACCAGGAACAGCCTTTCTCACTAACTGCCTATTACGGATGGCAACATATGAGAGCAAAATCACTGTTCCTAATTCAGCCACTAATCCATCCCTTGGACCGTCATCATAGGAAAGAAAGTCTTACCTGGGAACAGAGCAAAAAGGGCACAGCAGACAAACGATTTCCACATTCTTCTTCTGCACCTGAGAGATGGCAACAGACTGCGGAGGCTGTGCAAGGAGCCGAATGAGGAGGCATCAATGAATTTTAAACCTTGCAGGGATGAAGTGCACACTATAAACTTTGGTCAAAGTCTCGCACGAAAGCCCTCTTGGGAGCGAGCTTCTTTGAAATTATTAATACTTTATTTCCTGTAAACAGGAAGAGCGCTTTTCTCACACCAAGGTAGCCACTCTAGGCGGCTCCCAACAGAATATTGAAAACACGATGAAACATCAAACG